ATAAAAACCTATCAAATAAATGAAAAATCGGTTTTTCTCATAGATGGCCCAAAAGGTTTTTATGAAAATGTAGTATCCTGTAGTACTTTGAATTCTAAACAAAATGGTACAAATACCTTTTCAGCAAAAATTACGGTTCAAAAGTTATTGTAACTTATCTTATTTTCCATTTTAAAAACTATGAAATAACAAAAATCGGATTTTAGAAAAAAAACTGCTTTCATTAAAATTAATGCGTTGTGGTCCTTATAATTGCAAACAAAATAGTGCAATACCCCATTGCTGAAACGATTATAGTTCAAAAGTGATTGCTACTTTTGTGATTATCCCCATAAACAATCAAAGTTACTCCAACCGCTTACCCATTATAAAGGTTGTTGACAAGCTAATGGGAGAAGTTATGTGCCAGTTTTCTGATATTTTAAGTAGGACTAGTACTGTACCTAAACCACTGTACTGTACTGTATATAAACCATGGTAGCAACTACAATGTTGAATAAGAATAAAAATATATGTTTTTTTTTTACAAAGTACATGCATTTGTAATCGTCTGTTAAGTAAGGCAGAAAGATCACAAACTCTACAAATTCAAATTCAATCATCATTTTTTTTAATTAAGTTGTAAAAAAAATTATTCTTTATTTTCTGTATAAAAACCAACAAATTGTGTTTTTGATTAATAATTATGTCAAAGGATTTTCTTAAAATGTTTGAAACAAGAAAAGAATTATGCAGGAAGTAACTAAGACATTATAGAGCTGTTTCATGAATCTTGTAAGGATGAACTAAGAGCTAATCTGATTGGTCCAATTCCACCAATCATGTTAAGCAGTCAGACCAGTATAAAAGACTAGGTTTGCATGTTAGATCCCTCTTTAAGTCAGAATGTGTTGTACAGTGATGTTAAGAAAAGTTAAAGTTGTTAATATATTTTAGTGAGATTTAGCCCAGGAAAACTGGTATGTAAATCAATTTTATTAAAACATTTAGTTCATCTAGTAGGTCTGTTAAAAGAACAATGTTTAAACTTTGACTATATTTTAAAGCTATTATATTTGTTTGTTTTTAGGGCACATTACTTTTGGTAACTAAAAGCAATTTAAATTAAATAATGATGGTGAAGAATTTGAAGTATATTATTTCCAATCACAAAACCTATTTTACAAAATTATTTGTAATGAAGCTATAATCAAGAATTTTAGGAAAAAATTAAATTAAAACCAAAGTTTTGTTACACTACAAAAACTCTCAAAAGTTCTACAATAAATAAATAAGTACATAAATTAATGATAATAAATAATCACTGTACGTTCACAACTAAAAACTAAAAGATGCAAGGTCTAATTACACATGCAAGTCAAATAAATATCACATATGAAGAGTCAAAACTTCAAAATAGGTACTTACGGATGCTGCTGGTATATTAAGAAAATCATTCCAGGAATACAATGGGTTGGCCAATAAAAGGTTTCTTAGGTTGGTTTTGAATTTTGTAAAATTCTGATATCGGGCTTCACATGAGAGTCTGTTAAAAAATCTTAAACTTAATAAGCTGTGTTGAACTTGACTTTTTTTCTATGTTTTGAAATTAAAGTTTTTTTAATACAATCATTTATGATTTCAACGTCTCGTATAAGTTAAGTGTAAACATTAAATTTATAAAATTAAACTCCTTGGAGTAAGCAACCCTATATTATTTTAATTGTTGTGTAAATTTGAGATATTTAACACATAAATATAAGGTTAATTTCCCTTGATTTTGTGTATTGATTCTTACACCTCCTCTAAATGCAGATAACGATTGTCAAGAATATTAATCTTCCTCATACTGAGGTTCTCAAAAGGTCAAACCCTCAGAGGCCACAGTTAGTAGTTGAATGTTTACTTGTATGTATTGTCTAAATGTTTGTATGTGCGTGTTTAATGTTTTGACAATCTCAGATGAGAGAATATTTTTTTAGGCAGACCTATAGAAGGTGACAGTCACCTAAACGATCGTCATCCACCCTTAGAAGAGGCTTAAGAACATAAAACGGGATTAAGGTAAATTAACCTCTTATCTAACCATTATGCTCAATTTTTATGGGACGATAATTCGTTCTTTGTCCAAAAACATGTGAAGGAGAGTATAAATGTACTGACTAAAGATTTCCTGTGAGGAAGTACTTGCATGTTAAAGGATCTATGTTTGTATAATATTAGGTTAGTCACAATATTATTCAATAAATGTTGCAAATTTGCTTTATGATTCGTGCATTAGTGTAACACATGGGTCCCACATAGTTGTTTCTGTGTTTTACTTCAAGAATGTACTTCGATCTTCGACCAGGTATAAATTAATATAATTTGTTGTATAAAGTGTGTTCCACAACCATCTGTAGTGTTGGTGGCCTTTAGTTTATGTATACAAGGTCTCGAGGGAAATCAGCATACATCCCATCAAACAAGCGAGCTAAACGTCACACCTTGAAATAAGGTTGATTAAAACTGTCATCGTACGTCACAGATTGATTGCTGCAAATTTAATGTATATATGTCCAAGTGAGCATAGTGAGATATAATTTATTGTTTATTCACATTTATTTATCCAGGGTACATCAATGTATAGCGTAGTGTTATTTATCAGTAACTTGATGTATTAAATTTTACTACAAATCTTCAGCTTCCAGCATACAAAAATGCATGCAAAAACTAAACCAATTTCTAGAACCCTGGTTCACTCATAACATAACTGAAACCATTTCTAATGAATCTAACTTATCTCAGTCATTTAATACTATTTAATTTATAGTCTGTATGATAGAGCATGTTTCCAGACCCTCCGTCTACATGGGACTGGCCAATGGTTTAAGACCCGATACTATTCCTAGTAGAGGGAAGTAGACAGGTTCCATCATACAGACTATAATATAGCGCTCCCCCTTAAAAGCAATACTTAGCTAATACAGCTCATTTTATGAGTTCCTGGGTCAAATTCCCATAACTATTCTTAAACCTCTCCCCACTTGAATTTCTGGGAATGTCACCATTCCACACTATAGATACAGCGGTTTTTCCAACTCCTTGTGGGGGAGCTGCGAAAATGTACCCCTAATTAGTTAACGGTTATTAGTTAAATTTCCAATGGATTATGGTCGGTTTTCAGACCATCTATTTCGCGTTTGAACTGCCAAATAAAGAAATTAAAAGGGGAAAATGTTTAGTACAAGTTTTTATATATTACTATCTGAGGAGAAGAAACTGACTAACAGCTCAACTTAAGGAATAAGAATAGAAGTTGACACACCACATTGAAAATATATACAAAGTGTCTGTTTCCAAAGTATTGACGTGTCAGATATTGAATAGTGAGCAAACTTTTAATGAGTGTTGATATTAATATATATTCAAAACTTTGAGAAAAACTCATCTTGATTATGTGTTGAATTATATTAAACACAATTTATTAGTTATGTATTTCCAAGAAACAAAAATAGCCCAATTCGGTTTTGAAATTTATAAATGCAAAATGTGTTTGGATCTCAGCAGTTAGATATAACAATGAATCTCCTAAACCGCCCCCTTTATTACCATTGTTTACTTTTGGCATGTACAAGCCCATGTGTTCCAATAAGAGAAGTAATGTGCCAACTTTCGTTGTTTAAAGCAACTGCAAAATATTTTATGGGTGTACGAGTCTGCGATAACTTTAAATAAGTATTATTCATGATTATTTATATTCATATTTTTTATGTTACCTAGTGTAGTTCTTTTACTACCTATTGTAAAAAAATAGGCTTCCCTTAAAAAAATGAATGACAGATAATAATCTCTAGATATTTACTGAATAAGAATCATAACTTAAATACTGAGTTTGTAACAGTTAGTGGTCGTTAAGTACCTTATTTTGTCTGGATTAGTAAATTTTATCTTTTATACGAGTTCAAAATTCACTAATACAAAAAATAATGCATAGGAATTTAAAACCGTTTAATAATGAAGGGGAAATTTCTAATCGCCTCTTAAAAGGTTAGAAGATATAAAATTTTAATTAAACGCGAAGAAAAGCTAAATTTGTAGTGTGGTGTAATTAAATAAATGTTGTGGTATTCTGTAGAAACGGAAAAGGAATTAGCCAGGAAAATGTTCTTTGTGTTCATGTTGGGCAACCGCAGTTCCACTGATGTTTGCAAAATATTCTAGCAAATCCTGCTGATAGTATAACAAAAAAATAATCTTGCATTACATTTTATTGATTTATTCCGTGATTTTTTTTCATCGTAACAAATAGTCTACTATAACTAAAATTGCACTTGATTAAAGTGGAAAGAAAACTTTTTTGTTTAGGGAAAATTTTATAATTTTGTTATAGTTTTTAACACATCTAATCTGTGTTATCGCATTACAATCTAGTATTTTACGAACAGTGTTTAAATATTCTTATTTACAGTAAACTAAAATAATGTGGTGATTCGGAATCAAATAATGAAAGATTGTTTTTGAGTGAACAGTGAACATTTGCAGTTACACAGTAGAGGTCAGCTTATACGATAAAGAAGGATTCAAGCAATAACTTGTACCTGAGCTAGCGGAGAACCAGACAACTGAAATGAGCTTCGGTTGCTCTTGAATGCCCCTACAAATCTGAATCAAATCTTATCTGAATGCATGAGTTTCCTGGATTCGAATTCAAGATAGTGTGGTTTTATGTTGTGTGTTATGTTTATGTTGTGTGGTTTTATATGTCATACACCGGATACGCTGGAAGTTAAGGAAAAATCTCTTTACCGTAAGTTTTGCCATAAAACACTTTTTATGAAGGTGCTGAGTGTTTAAGTCTATCTTTGCACATAAAATAATAACTGGACAATTTGCAACAAAGCAACATAAATACTGAAGAAGCTTGCTTCAACCTCCCCTATTTTCATACTTCAATTAAAACACAATATTTCTACAAAAATCTAAGAAGAATTAGGACCATTAGTAAAAAAATTAAAAGAAAATTTTAAATTTCAAAAATATAACATTTACAAGTAAAGCTTTAATTGTTAGAACTACCCAGTAAGTCAAATCGTCCACAATCTGTTGTTGGTTATATAAGGTTTTCTCCATCTGGTCTTCCGTGTCTTAGGGTGCGTTGAACGTTGATCCTCACAACATTAGGGTGCAGCTGAGACCACAGCTTATCACAAAGACACATCAGCACACCAGCCCCCAGCAGCACTATCAGCACTTTCATCAGTCCCAGTGCCACCCTCACTACTAGTGGCTCCTCCTCAGCTTCCCCAGGACTTACTGTACATAAAGTGAGATGTTATGTAAGATGCAGGTAAGACTACAAATCCCACTAAGACATTATCAGCACACCAGCCCCCAGCAGCACTATCAGCACCTTCATCAGTCCCAGAGCTGACGTCACTACTAGTGGCTCCTCCTCAGCTACTCTAGGACTTACTGTACAAATGGTTAGATGTTATGTAAGATGCAGGTAATACTACAAATCCCACTAAGACATTATCAGCACACCAGCCCCCAGCAGCACTATCAGCACCTTCATCAGTCCCAGAGCTGACGTCACTACTAGTGCCTCCTACTCAGCTTCCCCAGGACTTACTGTACATAAAGTGAGATGTTATGTAAGATGCAGGTAAGACTACAAATCCAACTGAGACATTATCAGCACGCCAGTGCCCAGCAGCACTATCAGCACCTTCATCAGTCCCAGAGCTGACGTCACTACTAGTGGCTCCTCCTCAGCTACTCTAGGACTCACTGTACAAAAGGTTAGATGTTATGTAAGATACAGACTAGACTACCAATATCACGGAAACACATCAGCACATCAGCACACCAGCCCCCCGCAGCTATATCAGCACACCAGCCCCCAGCAGCACTATCAGCACCTTCATCACTGCCAGAACTGACGTCACTACTAGTGGCTCCTACTCAGCTTCCCCAGGACTTACTGTGCATAAAGTGAGATGTTATGTAAGATGCAGGTAAGACTACAAATCCCACTGAGACATTATCAGCACGCCAGTGCCCAGCAGCACTATCAGCACCATCATCAGTCCCAGAGCTGACGTCACTACTAGTGGCTCCTACTCAGCTTCCCCAGGACTTACTGTACATAAAGTGAGATGTTATGTAAGATGCAGGTAAGACTACCAATATCACGGATACACATCAGCACATCAGCACACCAGCCCCCAGCAGCACTATCAGCACCATCATCAGTCCCAGAGCTGACGTCACTACTAGTGGCTCCTACTCAGCTTCCCCAGGACTTACTGTACATAAAGTGAGATGTTATGTAAGATGCAGGTAAGACTACCAATATCACGGATACACATCAGCACATCAGCACACCAGCCCCCAGCAGCACTATCAGCACCATCATCAGTCCCAGAGCTGACGTCACTACTAGTGGCTCCTAATCAGCTTCCCCAGGACTTACTGTACATAAAGTGAGATGTTATGTAAGATGCAGGTAAGACTACCAATATCACGGATACACATCAGCACATCAGCACACCAGCCCCCAGCAGCACTATCAGCACCATCATCAGTCCCAGAGCTGACGTCACTACTAGTGGCTCCTCCTCAGCTTCCCCAGGACTTACTGTACATAAAGTGAGATGTTATGTAAGATGCAGGTAAGACTACCAATATCACGGATACACATCAGCATATCAGCACACCAGCCCCCAGCAGCACTATCAGCACTTTCATTAGTCCCAGGCTCCATCACTGCTAGTGGCTCCTCCTCAGCTTCCCCAGGACTTACTGTACATAAAGTGAGATGTTATGTAAGATGCAGGTAAGACTACCAATATCACGGATACACATCAGCACATCAGCACACCAGCCCCCAGCAGCACTATCAGCACTTTCATTAGTCCCAGAGCCACCATCACTGCTAGTGGCTCCTCCTCAGCTTCTCCAGGACTTACTGTACATAAAGTGAGATGTTATGTAAGATGCAGGTAAGACTACCAATATCACGGAGACACATCAGCACATCAGCACACCAGCTACCAGCCACCAGCAGGACTATCAGCACACCAGCCCCCAGCAGCACTATCAGCACCTTCATCACTGCCAGAACTGCCACCACTACTTGTGGCTCCTCCTCAGCCTCTTCAGGAGATTTATACATAATTTGCCTCCAGGATTGATTTATTGACATAACATGAGGTTACTAACCTGTCGTCAATCAGTGCTATATTGTCGTCGATGACTATAGTTTCGGGGTTAAAATCCTAATTTCAAATCTTCTCTTCAGTTGTCAAATATCAAACGTATCCTCTTGCACTAGCCGTCGTCGAAATTACTTCACACATAAACACGTACAGAAACATTTATAATTACAAAACTACATGCGCGTGAGGCCGGCCAATTATAAATGTTTCTGTATGTGTTTATGTGTGAAATAATTTTGACGACGGCTAGTCCAAGAGGATATGTTTGACATTTGACGACTGGAGAGAAGATTTGAAAATGGGGATTTAAGACCGAAATTATAGTCATCCACGACAATATAGGACTGATTGACGACAGGTTAGTAACCTTATTTTATGTTAACAGTTAGATGTTATGTAAGATACAGCAAATCTATACTATTCATATATTCCTTTTAGTACCGATTTATAATGAGTACCATAACTCCTTAATCAGCTTCATAGATCCCTTCACTACTACCAGCCTATTTCCAACTTCCTGTGCATTCACAAGTGCTTTGCATGTACACTATAATAGCTCAAGCAGTAATTAAGTTTATAACTCATGGCTTCTTTCTGGTCAGTTTAGCAATTTATCATAGTTTCATAAGTTAATAAGTTCATAAGTTTCATAGTGTATGGTACACTCACAAACGCATGTTTTGTTGTCATTCTCGAGTTGGAAGTAATGCGGACAGTAACAACGTGGCAGTGAGGTCTCTACGATGCACATGTGCGAACAATTATGGTAGGTGCATTCATCTATCTTTCCAGGACCCTGAAGGCTGCCATGGACTAGTTTTATAACCTAAAAAACAAATAGTGTACAGTATTAACGTATGGTACAGTAAACGTTAACAGTATAGTGATGAAGTAGGTTTCATTAAGTACACTAAACCGTAGACAGAATTGTAATGTATTAGTATTGTATGATTTTAAAAGATTTTTTTTTTATATAATCACATATATTGTTGGTTATTAAAAATCGTAAACAACGTAATTCCTGCGTAAAGAATGTACGATGGTCAGATGTACAATGAGTTTAAGATTATTGAACTATTGTATTTGCATGTGTTATATTAGTTGTATTACAAATTAAATTACGATAGTAAGATAATCGGTTAAGACTACTATAGTGTATACCATTTTGTATGTTATGTAAGAAAGAGATGTTGCGTAAGAGCTGGTTCTCATGCTGGTTCTTCTTTGGTAGTTTTAAATTAATTGAGTATTCAGTTACGAAACGTCTTGACCATATTATCGTAAAAGTTAGATGAAATATATGTCTGAATTAATCAATTAAAACTAAAACATATTGGGATCAGCCCAAAGAAGATTGCAAGACCATTTCCACATTAAAAAAATCAATGTGGTAAACAAAATTGTTTTGATCATTGTATGTATATATTCTGGCAAATATATAATATATAAAAATAACTTTTTTTGACAATTTCAGTTTTCCCACGTTAATATTTTTAAGGTAATTAAAATATGAGTATTTTTGAAAGATAATATTTAAACTTGTGTGACAAAACCAAGCACTTTGAATACATAAACTATTTATTTGCAATAATCGTTTCACTGGTACCTGAATGTCTTCGTCTTGCAGGATAATCGTTGGCATATGGTTGTATTCCAGTTTTGACGCCATCAGCATCGTCGAGTTGCCATCGATAGTCTTAACAAAATAAATGTGGTGATTGAAAATTCCGAAACTGAGAATTCTGCTTCCTTCCTCGTAGTCCTGGAACTGCAGAGGATGTGAGATCGTTCCACTATAGCTTGTGTAGTACACCTTGGACGTGTTCTTGTCGTGTTTATCCAAACCTGTGAAGTATATTCTCTCCGTAGCGAGGTCGAGAGACATGGAGGACACTCGGTTGACTCCGAACGATGGGATGACCTTGGTAAGACCACGTCCGTCCAGGCGACACGACCAGAGAGTAGCGCCTGAACTCCAGAACAACAAACTGTAAAGTAGAGGTAAAATGTGAATGGTATACTTTCTTTGAGCCTAAGTAGCATCCCTTAAGAAGCATGGTGACTTCATTATATGTTTCTTATATGGGTTTTTTATATTTATTATATGTTATCTTATGTTTATCAAGATAGAACATGTATTCTTAATAATTTTGCGCAATAATTGACTAGGTAGCCTCGTGGCTAAAGTGCTCGCCTTCGATTCCGAAGGTTGCTGGTTTGATTCCAAGCGATACTGTTTTTAGACTCATACAATTTTTTTGTGGTTAATCAATTTTTGCTGTATAACGAAAGGTCGGCGAAAATTACATACTTTTTACCATCGATTAATCTCCATTCAGAACATGCTCTTGTGTAGATACTTAAAAAAAAAAAAAAAACTAAAAACTATCAAACATAATATCCGCCACTACATTTTCCTATACAAGAGTTAAAATACCTCTTTACCATTGTAACCCGTGGTCAACTGAATGACGACCAGTTTCTACACTCTTGTGTGTCATTATCAAGCTATACGGGAAGTCACTCAGAAAAAGTTACGAATAAACTACATGGCCTTAATAATAATAATATATCACGATCGAGAGTTCAGGGTGTAGGCCTATACTGGATGTTGCCCTGTCCTTCCCTCACCTACCCATAGTATTGGTATTATCAGCAATAATGCTGATAGACTTGCTGATAATAGCAATTCGAGGGGCATGAGGTGAAGTATTTGTGATTATTATGGTTGTATTGCCATGCAGTGTTTTTATTTCGTAAAATGAATGTCTGTGTTAGTGTTTATGTTCTTTAAGATCTTAATCACATACAACTGTGTTCCTAGAGTGTCGAAACCGGTCACCATCCAAGATACCAATTATTAAATTTCCAACAAATTATTTAACAGCTTTGTAAATTAATGTGATAAACAAGAAGGCAACAACCCAAAAATAAAATTAACTTAAAGTCATGAAAAATATGCTTTTACCCATTCCTTATTTTTCAACATACATCACAGAGTTAAAGCATACACCACAAACACAATTTATATTTAACGTTTTTAACTTCAATAAAAAATGTAAAGAACAAACCCTTTATATGGATCCACTGCCATGGCGTAAGCCCAAGCACCTTCAGGGGGCTTAACCAGGAGTTCTTCATTGTAGTTATCACCGGTGTCGTTGAAGTTAATAAAGGTTATGATATGTGAGTAGCAGTTCGGCCAGTATATAGTACCATGGACCCAATCTACAGCGAAAGTCGGACATCTAGTGAGATGAGCCACAAACTTTACATCATCTTCCTCTTCAGCATCTTTCTTAAACAGCGGAAACCTAGATGAAATAAATTTTGTTAGATAGATGTATAAAACAGCAGGTCAAATGAACTGAGTGGTATTTTGTGGACATTGTTAATTTATTGAGCTTTTTATGTCATAATTTGTACCTATCTGGGATTATACTACAAGTAAATAAATATTTACCATATTTTCATACAGATTTTCTAAGTAATATACGTTCATAACTAGAAGTTTTAGGTTTAAAAATCTATGTAGTAAATGTGGTTGAGTAGATATAAAAATTAGTACAAAAAGCTATATTTATTTATCAGAAGCATTGGAAACATTTTATCTGATCTATTATGAACCCCTTTATTTTCCTGGAAGAGTTTTAATCCTATCATTACTTACAAACCTACTTTATTTCCAATTAATTATAGGGATTAATCCATGTAAACAACTTATAATGAAGTAAAACTAGAAAAGTAACTCGAACATGGTTTAACTCTATGTGTCTGAAAATTTCCTTTAGGTAGTTTTTATCCCTATAATTGTATACGTCGTAATTTATATGTACAGACTATTTAAAATGTCTTCCTTATAAGAATTACTGCATGAAAAAAATACTGTCAAACATACTTAATACGTACATAAACCTTATTCAAATCACATTTCCTCAATTGAAATAGTGTCATCCTGTTTTCCTTTTTAAAAGTGTCATGAATTAAACCAATGTGATTTTCTAATTATACCTCCATAGCCCGTAGTACGAAATGAAAAACCCCTCTTGTCTTCCAAGATGGTAGTCTATGGCATCTATTTTGTGTTCATGCTTCACTAAAGTTTGCAATTCATGTGTGTTTGAGTTGTATAAAGATATATTCTCTTTTCCGGCAATGAGTATGTAAGGCTCTTCGTCAAACTTATTCTCGGTGACCTTGTTGCTATCTTGGTCTGAAAAAGACGCATACTTAGTGGGAAGAGCAAGATAATTTGTAATTATAATATCTGTAAATCTCAATTATTGACTTTTGTATACTTAATTAGACATAATGTGACTAGCCATGTGATTAGATCATGTAGCCAATGTTTAAAAAAGAAAACTAAGTTCCACTTACAGCGAATGCTGATCCAAAAGTTCTATTTTTCTAAGCTTTTTTCTACTTTGATAGCCAAAGTTGTATCAAGTGTTTATAGTACACAAGTAGTTGTCTTTTCAAGGGCTTTGTAAAAAATGACAGATTCAACAGAAATCATTGACGTAAATCACGTTGGCGCACTCTGTTGGGAGCTAAATTCAAATACACTCATATTCATTCAAAAACTTGTCACAAAATTAACATTTGAATGGGACATCTATCCCTATATAGAGAAATAAAGGTATAAGCAATATAACACTTATTTTCTCCCTTTACCTTGTCAATAACCTTTAGGTAAGCGGAGGGAGTAACTATGATATTTTATGGGGAAATAAAAAAACTGCGATAACTTTTGAACGGTAATTTTTAAAGAAATGAGAGTTGTACCATTTTGTTTGTAGCTACAAATTTCCTCAAAGTTCCTCAAAGCTACAAAGTTCCTCACAGCTGTGAGGAACATAACTTAATTTTAATGCGAATCGTTTAAACAGTTTTTGTGGAATAAAATATAAATAATAAAATAAAAGCTTTCGAAAGGTGTAATCTGTAGCTTCACACACCTCTATTGTAGCTCACACACACATTTCACTTCGAAAACTACTTTTAGAGTTCAGGGGGCCCGAATATATTTCCACTTACAACTCAATTTCTAAAAGTTTTACGAAAACAATACTTTCTCCATTTACTATGTATAAGGATACAAATAAAAAATAATACAAAACTTGTTAAGGTATTATAAATAATTTTATTTTCTGCAAACTTTGGATCGGTAAGCTATTAAAGGTGCTTCCTATATTCAATATTGCAAAGATGTATATTTTTGTACGATTCATACACTGTTTTCATGTACAGATAAACTTGTAACGTTAGAGCTTATTATCGAGGTTTAAGTACTCACCCTTGCCGATGGTATCAGTAATCACATTACTCTCAATCTCATACACAGATATCTTGAGCACCCCTCCACAGTAGAGGGTTGTGTTGTCCTTACAAGGCTTACACAGACTGCTCTCTACCTTGCTAATTTGGCCCAAAATATCCTTTCCGCAGTAGCATATGGAGTTCCTAAAACGTTAAAAAATCTTTCAGCAATGTGCAACATACTCTTTAGCTACCTACAAATATTCTCTTAACACGTTTGTTAATAAAAGATCCTTAGTAATGATGGAAACCCCTTGACCTAATCATTACGATCGATTCACGACCTATCTTTATTAGGTTACCTTAAAGCATACGATTATCTTTAATCATGATTGATTTGTAGCAAACGGATGGATGTATAAATTAATAATTGCAACTTAGATCAATCAATCCAGTTATGGAGGACGCACGTTTCGACCTTTAGGTAATCTTCTGCTCCGCTGTTGCACTAGGTTATTCAATACTTAGTTGTATTGTTGGTGCAGCAACCGCGTCAAATATTTTACATTGAAAAACATATTATGACCACGTAAACATAAAAACACGACACTGTCGAAGACGAAGACGTTTAAATAAAACGATCACCGTGCGCACGGCTGAACGGGCTAGGGACTGCGGCGGCACACAGTGAGTAGTATGCAATAAGTATGGAATAACCTAGTGCAACAGCGGAGCAGAAGATTACCTAAAGGTCGAAACGTGCGTCCTCCATAACTGGATTGATTGACGTAAGTTGCAATTATTAGATTATCTTTAATCCTAAATTGTTAAGAATAAATATTATAAATGAAGTAATCTTTACTTTGGGGAATTTACCAACCAAAACTCCTATAAATAGACTGCGTAGTATTAAATGTTTGTATTTATTCACTTAGGTTAGACCTAAACCATAATTTAGAATCCTGACCATTGATAGCATATTATTTACACGCCTTTCATATTATTATTGTTGTACCAGTTGAGATGGGGATGCTGCATGTGTGTGTTTTTACCAGAATATGAGTGAAGGACAAGAGTATAAAATGAAGTGAGATGTCTTCTTTGGCATCGTTACTGACTAAGACCAGCTGTTTCATTAGCCAGGACATTTATTAGAAAACCAGACCAATGATCAGGATAGCTGGGTCCAGTTTTTAAGTATCAAAAATCTTCTAATCTTTCTCAGGATCAAACCGGCGACCTTTTGATTGTACGAGCACTAAAACCACACAGCTACCCAGCTAACTTTATAACTATTAACTTTAGCCAACTACCATAAACTAGATGAGTCAATGATTACAGCTGTGAGTGGCTAGACATGTGATCCTTCGAAGGCAATATTCATTTAACTAGTAACTTCAAATTTTGCAAGATGAATCCTAAGCTGCATGTCAGTAATGTTTCTTTGACATTTTATAAAATTTATTATTACTTAATATTTTTCAAGATAGATGTACAAGCTTAACAAGCGGACATAAACACAATCCTATTCAAGCCGGGCTTACAGTAGCTTGTGACTTGTTTACTTGGCAAAAAGAGACAAATATTATTTAGTGTGATATTGCGGGACTGTAGTCTGCAGCAACCGTTGTTAGGATAGGATTAAACACAATTTATGATTACTTTTACAACTCAACATCACAGAACGACTCGTCGCAGTTTGTGTGAATTGTATATTTATTTCTATTTTCTGTACTTTAAATGTAGCTACTTTAAGCCCTTTATGAATAAAGTATACTTCAAACGTAGTGACATTTGTTTTTTGACCATTATTTTTACCGAGTATTCAGTTAGTAATTGCAAACCTTTCTGTAAAATTTCCTCAGCCTACTCAACAATTTATCATAATCATCACTCTCATGTAAGAAAATATTATTTGTAATTTTCACATCACAATAAACTAGATTTCATAAAACACAGTTTAAGAGGGAAAGCAATACAACTTATCCGCGAATAGTTAGATTTTTTTTTGTACCTACTTACATACTATCAAGTCCAGTATAATGATGTCCATTGCCTGAACACAATTTGAAGCATTTGTCAGCATCAAAAGGATGAATCATTCGACCAGAACGTCGGTGAAGATCAAGTTTGCTGAAGCATCCCTGGTACTCGATATGACCGGGGAACGCACTGCAGGCTGCGAAAAACAGAGAGTGGTAATGGATGGTTGTTCAGGTGTAAAAGGTTTTAATAAGCAGCATATTTCTCAAAATATGCCTACAAACTTTCAAACAACGTATCGTTATTTTATTTCATAAATCAAACCTTAACCCATACCTGTTCCTAGATTTATTTGGTAGCAGATTTGAGATAATTTATTTCGGTCTAACTATTACCAATGAGGAAACAAACTATCTTTTGTGTATTTATTGCTATTACGACATGTTTGCGAGGTCCATGAAGTTAGTGTACCCATATTAGCGTATCCGCTTTTGTTCATACCAATCGTTAGTTCTTAGTTATTTCTCGATAGTTTTCCAATACTTTCGTAAGTTATCAAAAAATAAAATAAAAATATAGCCGATAATAAATGGGTACGCTAACTTAACAAACGGATGCGCTCACCGTTTTCAGATGAAAAATGCTTACATCCAAATACCAAACGATATTCTCGGTGGTTCTCTTTGTTAATTCTCGGTGGTTCTCCAATATTGTTGCTAACTCTCCAAAAATAAGAAAGTTATAAGGTAATTTTATACCAATTGAGCTGTGAAAAATGTCCAATCCAGCTGTAACCGCTATAAGTTGGGATGAACATCATTATGAACATTAGGGTCTGTGACGTCATTTGTTTATGTTTATCATCCATACAGTTTCTGGTATAACATTTGTGGGCCGCGATACTCTGGTAGAACGTATCATTATTTTTAAAAGCTAACTTTAATTATAATGCATAGTTAGATAAAATATTCATTTAATCTTTAAATTATATTTACATAATTTAAGTATAACATACGTCATGACCAGGTGTGGCACACACAAAAGATAATTACAACAAACCTGTGTACGCAGAGAGTTAATTTAGATTCGTTTACCCAGAATACATTTCTCGAGTTTGTTATTCATATTAATTGAAGTACTAATTGTGTGAGGCTACTGTAATAATGTGGGGTCAGTTATAATAATATTTGTCAGGCGAGTCAAATACTCGCATGCAATATTCTCAAAGCTTTGTTAATTAAAGTAAATATTATTTATTATTTTGGAAAAAGATACTAAAACCCTATTAAGAGAGAGTCCACTCATTATAAAGTAAGCTTTATTTAGTAGGTTAGACTTTTGTGACTTCGAAACAGGCTATACCAATTTTTTAGCCGGAATCATTTATTAAAAACACTACCAAGCTGTACTATACACGTCGAAAATGTAATTCGTTTAACTTCACTAAGCTGAATTAACATTTCAGTACCTTGTTCAATGAATCTTTAAACGTGTAATCGTATAAAATTAAAAATAGCTTATAATTTAAATTTATCTTGGCTCCACTACTTTAGACTTTTAAACCATCTATAGCTAAACTTACCGAGTATAGGAGCCAAGAATGCAGCAGCTGTTAAAACCCACATGGTAGAGAGAAATACATATTGGCGGGACAACAAATGACACAAGAACAAACAAAGCTGATAAACCTTGACCTGAACAATCGCTGTTTTATCATTTATAGCGTTGGTATTGCCAACACAAACCTATTGTGCATCTGAGAACATCTTCAGGGATTTCTGACCACAGTGTAAACTGAATTCAATAGTTCTGAATAAATAGGTGAATTACTAAACGAGTAGTCTTATATGTATAAATATATATATTTAGATACAGGTTTACTTGATTAAGTAACTGCCTGATTTAGTATCGTAGGGTTGCATTTGAGATGTGACGTGGCTGGCTGGTTTTTCAATGTTCTTTGGCCTATAGTCCCTGGTTTTAATATTGGCAATCACTATTCCAAGTTTTCTGATTGATAGGCCATGACTCAGAGCTCAAATCCCCCGTTCACTGTAAATCAACTTATAATTCATAATATATTTCTTACGTTAAAAGGGTTTGTACATGTGATATCTAACAAGTGCACTATAGTCCATTTATGGTAGTTGACGAAAATATTTATATAGACAACTTTATTTGATTGTTGCATGATTTATTAAAAATAGTTACATTCATCCAATGGGCTTTGTATGGTCAAAGCACAAAATTTAATTGAGTCTGAAAATATGTTTACTTATACATGTTTATGGCTTACTGTATCTATTAAAAACTTAGTTTATCTACTTTATATTTTAACTTCTTTTATCACCTACCTAAATCTTACATCCATTAAATCCCTGGACCAGGTAAAATATGCTAACAGAACTACTTAAAACATTCTAAGAAATATGAGATGAATCGCCAATAAAATGAACGTTGAGTATGGTTGATCTATACGAAATGGTTGATAAATAAATGCAATGAATCAAAACTGAATTGGCAAAGGTCAAATAGATGCATATGGACGAAATTTCGCTAATATTTATCAGTTAAATGTCCAGTACGATTCTCTGAAGTCCGTGCTTTTTGTTGTGAGGTACAATGAGTGCAATTTGTGTGTACTTCGTAACTATTTTACTTTCAGGTACGTTAATAGTGACATACTTTTATCGTGAATATGTTTAAACAACCATTATCATTCTGTATTTATTATAATTCGAAAAAGATCTATGAATACACAGTAGGAATTAAATATACATTAAAGATGTAAATTTTTAAGAAAATTGCAAAAGTTGTTTCAATAATGTCAGCGAATATAGTAAAAATGTGTAAAGATAAATTTTAAAACTATACCAGATTAAATACACACCATATTTAACATGAACTGTCGACTAAGATTGTTAAATTAATAGTCACATCTTTCAGTTTGATTTTATAAAAGACAAAAAACGTGAATAAGTTATCTCAAGTAACAATTTTGTAGCGAGTTACTTTCAAGCAAAGAGAACTTGTCAATCTAAAGTTTTTAAAGTTGAAAGAATTTAAAAACACAAGAATTGTTCATTTTTCATCGTTTTAATGTTTTGATAATTACACTAATCTTTGTTCGTGAACATTTTATATTCATTTGTTCATAAATGACAAAGCGATTTTTTATGAAAAAGGTTAACGATCATTGTTTGTTTTTTGTGCGGGATAGGGTCAATGTTTTGAAAGAAAGTGAAATAAGTAAATGGAATAATGGTCTAAGACAGCTAGTTCTGGGTCGATTCTCCGTGTGTTTAAACTAGCTGTCGTTATATTTTATGGTGAGTACACTAACCAATCTAAGTGAATACATTTATCATTTTGCGTATGATTATTTTACTATTCTAGGTCTGAACACTGCCACTTGTAAATGCAGAACCACTGCTTCGATATTTGAGGAGGAACTGAGAAGTTTTGATAAGAAACCAGTCTTTAATTTTACTTTGTACGGCCTCAAAGCAGATGTTTTGTATGACAAAGGAGATGTGATGAATTTCAACTGTACTGACAACAATGAGTCGTTAAAAGTAAACACAACTATACAAGAAGTACAATCAGCTACTTCACTAGACCCAGCAACTCTTGATGGTAAGCTACTTTACAATTTATGGATAAACGAATCAGTTGCATAATCCTGAGACAGCAATCTCTACATTCTTTTTAGCAAGCATAACTAGAACAGAAATAGATGAAGTACGATAAAACAGAAGGCAGAGTATAAACAGTTAAATTATGGGGAAAAGCGTTAATTTAACATACATTAATTCTTTACACACTTACATTAATTTGCCCAGTTCATTGGCAAATTTTAAACGGACTACATGTATATGTATTGTGTATCCCAACTAGGTCCTAAATTGTTAATTTAGTGCTCGTCCTATCGAATTACCATTTCTCTTTTCAAAAATGAGTCAGATATTATTTAAGAGGTTTCTTAAAAATATAGAAAAATATTAACTTATTTTATATTAGGTTAATTGGGTACTTATTTTTAAAATGTACATAGTTAGTTCTATGGATATCTGAAGTAATATTACCAGTTTAGATATACAGGGTTTTTCATGGGAACCCTTACAAACTTCAGGAAATGATTCCTTGGGTCAAAACTGGAAAAAAATGTCCTAAGCTCACTCGTTTTCTAGTTATAAGTAATAATAGATTTTTTAGGGTTTAGTGTATCTGTTGAACGTTTTTGAAAAATTGATTACATATTTTGTAAAATATTATATTTATATAAAACTTGCATTAATAGATATAATATTAAATTTCAAAGAGATTTCATTACTATTTTGGGCAAACATGTTGGTTATGACTAAAAAAATAGTTAAAAAATAAGATATTTTCGGAAAAATCTGGATAAAAACTATTTTTTGCTTTTGACAGCTCTTCATGTAGTAACCATTCAAGCTTTTGGCTTGCAACTTTACCAATAGTTGTATGATTTATTGGAGAACAAGGAAATGTGAACTTATGTATACCCTTTATTGGAATTATTTTTGTCAAAATCTAGAATATTGTAAAATATCAACAAATTGTTGAATTAAGCGAAATAAACAAAATTTATACCAATAAACAACTAAACTATTTTTATAAAAAAAAAAGAAGAAAGAAATAACAAAAGTTAATCCCAATAAAAGGTATACATAAATTCACATTTCCTTGTTCTGCGTTAAATTCTACAACTTTTAGTAAAGTTGCAAGCCAAAAGCTTGAATGGTTACTACATGAAGAGCTGCCAAAAACAAAAAATAAACTTTAACATATTTTTTTTTATATTTTATTTTTAAACTTATTTTTATTTGTCATAACCAACAGGTTTGCCCAAAATAGTAATGAAATATTTTTGCAACTTAATATTCTATCCATCAATGCACGTTTTATCAAAATATCTCGTCAATTTTTTAAATCTAGAGATCAAAATGTTAAACAGATACACTGAAACCCTAAAAAAAACCTATTTTTACGTATAACTAGAAAACGAGTGAGTTTAGGACATGCTTTAAAGGACATTTTTTTAGTTTTAATCCAAAGAACCATTTTCCAAAATTTGCCAGGGTTCCCGTGAAACGGGCGCAGGCCGAAAGCCACGAATGTTTATCTCTATAAGCTGGGGGGACGTAAGCCACGGCAATTAGCGAGGGTTTGAGTAGTTATAATCCTGGGGACGAAAGCCACGACGGCGGTAAACTTTCGTGGCTTTCGAGACGCAGCCCGTGAAACACCCTGTATATTTACTATCTTATTTAGTTTTATCACTTTCTTTGCGACTTGTCCACAAAACGTGCAGTCAATGTGTGCCGTCCTTGATCATCAACTTTAAATTCACATATTCATGTACACAAACGGTTCTATGCAAGAATCGTTATCATAGGTTCCACCTAATTACACATTTTCCTTCCAGGCTCAACAGATAATTCAACGCAGCTCAATACATATGCTCTTGTATACAATAACATTTTTGGCCAACAAGACGAGATTGCGGCACCTTCAAGCATTGTCCCGGTAAAAATAAGTTCCAATATTACTTCAAAGGAAGATAAAACCCATACGCCTACAAATACCACAATGTCTGGAGTGGATACGACTACTAGGAGAGGTTTGTAATACGATACGTCTAAAAGCTTAACACACCTTTATTTTGTTACCAGATGATACCTTGTTTAAAAAGCTTGGAAATATATCAATCGAATGATATCTGTGAAACAAAAACTAAAGGGTAATGCAATATAAAATTCTAGATTTTAGATACAACAAACATATAAACGGTAAAAATATTAAAGGATTTCTTTGACTGACGTCTAAAAAGATTGTTATCAAATCATTATGATTTGTTCGCTTGTTTTAGCAAAGACTGCAACGTTGTTGTAGAAAAAAGTTGTTGTTTGAAGTTTAGGAGATCATGGTTTTGAAATAATAATATCTTTAGTGAATAATCAATGTAAGAGCTCAGTTATACAGCTCTTCCTGTAGTAATGGCCTACTTCCATTACACAAGAGAAGTAGGATTTTGATAGGTTGGGGTGTTACATACAAGAAGCTCTGTAAAGAAATATTTGCATTATTTTTTCTATTTTTTAGATTAAGTTATAAAGGTACTCTGTACATCATTCTACTTTAATACACAAGCCACCTAATGAAAATTACTGACAAACCACGTAAAATCATTAAATTAATAATTCATACAACAATTATTCAACGACCTCTTAAGATTTAAATTATCTTACAGGTTTAACAGGTATTGAACACAGTACTGATGATATCCACTATTCAAGTGCCTCAATCAATTCAACACATCCCAACACGTATGTTCTTGTTTTCAAAAACATTTTCGACCGTCAAGATGAAAGTGCTACACCCTCCAGCAACGTCCCAATTCAGGTTCCAGCAAATGCCACTTTAGAGGAAAGTAAAACGATTAATTCAACGGACATGATAACTCTACTGCAGACCACTACAGAAAGTATTTCTGAACTAGATAAAATTGTTGGGAATAACACGTTGGATCAAAACAATAATACAAGTGAGGGAATAGTTCAGAATAGTGTTTTGGACGCGTCACATTCCAACGACCCAGGTACTGGGCTTACATAAAAGTTTTGATTTATATTTGTTAATGCATGTAAGTAAGTAAAAAAATAATAAATTGATAAAATGGATCAAAATGAAATGATAATCAAGAATAACACTTGTTCTAAAAACGACTTGTTAGCGAAATATCCACCATGTTTTTTTTTATAAATTTACATATAAATAATAATTATTAAAATATGTCTATGGAATTAGATTTACAGTTATAGGGATCCATAAGCTTTTAGTGAAAAAATCACTAACAATTAATCATTGTTTTGGTTTCAAAATGGCGGATAAGGTTGATTATTTTTATTTACGTTTTATTTCGACCCATCTAATCCATACGTAATGTTTTGTACTTACGGAACACTCTGTATATTTGTAAATACAATTATGAGTGGAAGCTTTAAATAAGGACAAATCCAACATGATAAAGACTGTAGATAAACAGTTTTATGTTCCTTGTTGATAGCTGAGCATTTCTTAAGGTAACATTTTTTTTTACTCCTAGATTTAAAAGATGTTTGATGTCTTTGTGCTTAATGAGTACGAAGCGTATAAATCCTTCAATTTATAAACCTAAAACATATTTATGGAGTAAAAAAACCTCTAAATGGTTTCATTTATGCACTTTTGTATTTTGTTTGTACTCTACTTGTAATTGTTATTGTGGATGAAACTATTTGGATCGACATCATTTTATTAGTTCATCATTTTTGTATTTGGATTGTACTCTACTTGTAATTGTTATTGTAGATGAAACTATTTGGATCGACATCATTTTATTTATTCATCATTTTTGTATTTGGATTGTACCCTACTTATAATTTTTATTGTGGATGAAACTATTTGGATCGACATCATTTTATTTATTCATCATTTTTGTATTTGGATTGTACCCTACTTATAATTGTTATTGTGGATGAAACTATTTGGATCGACATTATTTTTTTATTCACAAATTTTTTACACCGTTTGGCTTTGAAACTACTTTACTTAGATTAGCTCATTTTACACATAGGTCTTTTATCCAATATTAACAATAATAATGTATTACCAAATTATATAGTTTTCAAACCATAACACTCAAGTCAAACTCGTGTTTGACGATTCTTTTGGTACATAGATAGTTACAGTATATAAGTTCATAAAACTAATTATAATTTCGTAGCTTCAGTATAATTAGTTAACGTATTTTTTTATGTTTCAGTAACTATTCTTTTGGGAGAAAAACATGGAATTACGATCATAGACGTTATTAATCCTAGAAATTCAACTTTTCTCAATAAAACTGATATCAACGCTTTTGCTGTAGATTATAAATACTCAACAAACACAATCTTCTTTGGAAGGAATGGAGAAATCAGAAGGTAAAAATACATTTTCGTTATAATTTTTACATTATTGTTATTATTTATAGGACAAATTTTTATTGTTTCAGTATTACATACATCTATACGATTCAGAAATATTACAGTACACGAAACAATAACCACCAAGGCTAATCAACTTAATTTGGTAGATTTGCACAATCTACTTGGATACAATAAACTCAAAGAGTAATAATTGTGGGTGGTACACCGGTCAAATATTATTCTATTAATTTATAAATGCAAAAGAAACATGAAAAACTTCTGCACATTATCTGTTTCTTAAACATAAACACTATTTTATAGCTTTCCAAGATTTATAAATATTTATATCTACGTATTATTTTATTTTAGGTCCCACACAACAGAGTAAAAGAAATAATCACTATTTTCTATTTCTAAAAGACAATCCCATAAATCACCAATAAACTTGTTTTTGTTTTCAAATTTTTTAAGTCTTGTAGGCAAACTATTGAAAGTTTTCGGGGCTTAGTATAAGGAAAACTTTTTTAAATGGGTTAAAGCTTTGTACGAGTTATTTAATTTTGATGTTAAGATTTACAGACATATAAACATAACAAATTTCTATGGAACGGACTTAATTTTTAATTAACACATATACCAAAGTAGCGTATAAATAATCTTAGTTAATATGATTTGATATTGTTATGTTAAACAAGAGAATTTGGATTCGTAAACGTGGAAGCTTTCGGCATTGTTACTGTCATTATACTCGTAATTATCTTATATAAAAAAATACATTACAATTGCTTTGTTGTTTAAAATTTTAATAATATACAATAGAAGTGTGTTAGTAAACGTATTTTACTTACATTTTGTACCAACATAGGTGCTGTGCTTATGAAGAAAGTTTGTTCAGTTAAAACCCAAAAGTGGTGTTATTTTGTTTCCTTGTCCAGTACAGGTGAGCCCAGCTTGGTAGTGGCTGGAGTGGACGGTCCTGTCAGACTGGCTGTAGACTGGGTCCATGACAGACTGTACTGGCTGTCAGACATACACCAGACTGTAGAGTCGGCCAGTCTAGACGGCACCAACAGAAAAGTGCTTGCTGACGTCATCACAGGAATTGCATTCCCTCATAACATAGCTGTAGATCCGTACGATGAGTGAGTAGATATTAACTTGAATAAGGAATAAGGGGTTTATACTTTTCTATGTGTGGTTTTTAAGATGTCATTTACTATTTTTGGATTTAAGACGATAGACTTTTGATTAAGATAAATGCCATTAACAGTTTGTAGGAGTGTGAAATTTGATGTGCGACAAAACTAAAATATTTGGGATTTTAAGGATACTGCAAAACAATATAATTTCAGAAATAGTGCCTGAAGTAGCCTTTTTCAGAATGTCCTAAAGTTTAACGGCTAAAATTAATCACTTTAAAAAAATGATGCCCAAAAATACAGTTTTGGCACGCGGTATGATATATTATGTTTTTGTCATAACACACTTTTCTTGACATGATACCTGATTCAGATAACAAAAAAGGTTAATATTTTTACCTTAGTAAGTTTGTTTTCAATCATCTTGTATTGCTGCTGTAAATGAAGAGTTGTTGTTGAAATATGGAGTATTTATTGTATTATTTATATTTTATTTTATTCTTTACAGACGAAGTTCAAACTTCATATGTTTTTACTCTTCGTTCATCGTTTTATACTATGAACAAGTACTTCATCCCTAGACATTTTATTAAATCAAATTTACTTAATCTGGTCTGTGGTAAAGCGCGGGGCTTCGGTCCCCGAGGTCCCGGGATCAAGTCCCACCAATCGCCTACATAATAATGCTGCAACCCCCTAGGCATAATCTGACGTCATTTTTCCTGGGATAGAGCCTAGCCTTTAGCGTCTTAAAATATTCACACCTTATGACGGACATTTTTTCCTACCTTCAGGTGGGACAAAAAATCCATATTCAAACTACTTTTTTCGTTTTTAGCTGCAACCTTAACTTCATGTCAATAAGCTAAATTACCTTGTTCAACAAAAGTGGCAACAAACCAAAAATAACCTTCTTGTGTTATTTTATTACAACATAATCCTGTTTCTATCACAAAAACACTTTTTCAGAAGTATTTTCTTCGCTGCCAACAACAGCATGTACAGAGCTGGTTTGGACGGAAGTAACCTGAGGAGGTTTAACCTACAGGATAGAACAGTTAGATGCTTAGCTCTAGACGTACCTTCTCAAAGACTTTTCTTCTCCGGCAAGTTCAAAGGTCGGCCCTATATCGCCTCGTGTGACTATGACGGAAGGGATGTGAGATTCCACGATATCGGTGATGCGGACTGGACCGATGTTTTCAGCTTGGATGTATTCAGAAATGTTGTATATTTCGCCCATTACAACCCTAAGGAGCAAGACAGTGTATGGGCTTTTAATGTCACATGGGTCGGGAAAAGACCTGTCAAAGTGTATGAGGCACCTGCCGAAAGAGGGGTAAGTATCGTACAGTCGATCATTCTATATGCTATACAATGTACATCAATTGATTATTTTGAGAAATATCAGTAAATTAAAGGTAAAAATACCTGTATTACCCAGAGATTATGTGTTTTGGTTAAGACACCATGGTTCATTCTCGAGCAGAATACCAGTTTTGTTTAAACTACATTCTCTTCCTCCTTAATGTTGTGAATATAGTCGTTATAAACTCAAACAAACGTACGGACACGAATACTTAAACAAAACATAAATTTGGCTAATTATGATATGGTGGCGGTCGCATGCTGTAGCCTGCAGAGTCATTACCAATAGTACAACAACGTACCGAAATGTCAAAAAAGAATCGCTGGTCAGTAAAACAAGTGTTTAACCCTTCCTTAGTGCAAAGGTTATCCAATGGCTAAATATGTTTTTTTTATGAGTATACATTTCTGCATACAATTGTGAGATTACATAAAAACCCCAACCAAACTACTCTTACTTATACTACAACAAAATGCTTTACCACACCTAGAAGAAATTGTTTGGTAATAGCTCTCCTGTTATCATGGGGGTTTAACAAGGCCATCGAAATTTTTTAGTTTCATTTAGAGAGAAATGTTTTCACCTGATGTTGTTACCCTCAAAATTTTTATGATTATAATTTGACAGCCCAATAAAAAAATATAAAAATTAACAAGGTCCGGAACCGATTTCTGGTGGGAATTGAACCACCGACCCTTAGAATTGATTGTATGCTCCATAACAGAACAGGTACATTGTAGAGGGTTTCTTATTGTTTCGCAGATATTTTAAGTTACTATGTGAGTTATAGGGTAATATCCATCTATTTACTAAAATATTTTCGTATTCTTTCCAATTCATAACAAATATAACCATAAAAAACAGTCATAACTGACGAATTATGTAAAAAAATTTTTTATAATAAATTCACTCTTATCCTATAGACCACAAAATTCTTTAACATCATAGTCTGTAACTGATTAAACCATTCACTTAAAATATTCTATCTTCCTAAGGACCCTCTTGTGTCAAAGAAACTAATCAGTTTTACCATAATGGTATGCATATAATAAATTTATTTATCCTTATGATGATCCTAAAGTGTTTTTCATTGTTCCAGGGGATCTGGAGCATTAAGGTATTCCATTCTGAAGTTCAGAAACAAAGCGACAAACGGAGAGAATAAAAGAAAATAAATCTGGGATAAACTTTGTCTCCTATTGTCTTTTAAAGAATAAAGGGTTGTTTTATAAAATTGTATTGTTTTTCTCCACAAAGAGCTTTCTGTGCGTTCAATTTCTATTTAGCACCTAATTGTTTAAATATTTACCAAGACTGTAGTACACTAAAAAGATAGATTCTTTGTGTTATATTACTTGGTTTTAAATTTTTGAAAATAGTTCTTGATAGATCGATTAGTAAGAATAATATTTTTTTCTATGGTTTACTGATAAAAAAACACAATCTTGAGGATTATAAGCTATGAGTTTTTAGCCACGGCTTGAAAGTTTAATAATTAAGAAGACAATGTAGCTTAATCCTAGATCGGTTTGCATTAATTGCTTGATAAGATAACATTTTTAATTTAAACACAAAACGATGGTTTGAATGTTGCCTCTAATTAATAATAAGTTGTTTCAATTATTTGTATTTCTTGCCTCTTTTGGAAAATGATGTGGATAACTACCATGACGTTTGTATTTAACAATGTTGGGCAATCTTTAATTATTTTAGATCTTTCTATTGAATATGAAATAGATTAAATTTAAGATTTCGTATTCTCAAATAAGAAATGTGTGTTAACTAAACTAATAAAAATGTCAGTTTATAAGAAAAAACATCTTAACCTTCAATGTATAAGCCACGGTTTTCTTACAATAATTTTATATTTTAATTTAGTTACTCTGCTGATTTTTCAAACTTCGTAACAGTGCCTACTACGAGGCTAACATAGCCTTAATCTTGAAGGTGATAAAACAATAGCTAATATTGTGCATATGGATTTTTTTTTAGGTTGGTGGCCTCCTTTAACCTTGAATTTGCCCGTCCACATAGACTAAGCGCCCGTGCGTGGATCGTTTACAGCAAAGCAAGGAGTGCGCCGGTACAGTACAAAGGTGAACGTACTGATAAATTTTAGTGGCAGTGACCAGGATCCGAACCCACGACATCGCTGCCTTGGGCCCGAAGTCCGCGACGCTACCGACTGAGCCACCGACTCACTAAAATTATAGTTATTATAGATTGTCTAGTTATTATAGATTTTACTTATAAAACAAAACAAATATTGTTTGTTACAGTTAAAACGCTCTACGATTACACAGTTGATCTGGCGTTTTATATTACACCAATATTTTACTAGACTAAAAACAATTTTTTGTATACTCGTGTACTACGATAAATACGGTATGGACTTATCGATGGACTATTAGTGGAATGACAACAATGATATCTTTCAATATTTTTCCATGAAGATTGCTCATCAACATTCTCAATCTCTATCTAAGATCACTGTTTACTTGCTATCAGGGTTTGTTTATATTCTTAGTCAGAACTGATTTCTCGATTAGTTTCTGTCTAGAGATACAGTGGTTTCAACACAACAGCTTGGAGTACTGCACCAATAGCCTCAAGGGGATTGATTCCTAGTCGCTCTTAGTAACCAACATGGAGTTGAGAATTATCCACACTTTACTTCTGGTTTTTGCAGGTAAATTATAAAAATTATTGTTACTTTTATATTTCGGTTAGTTAGTATATTATTTAATTCAATTTATTATATTTAAATGCCAAATTATATATGTTTTCTCTTTTGCATTCCTTTTCCAGCCATCTTTATTAACCGATTTTTACGTTTGAGGTGTAATTTCAAAGTTTATGACCGAGCGGAGAGACGGATGGTAACTAAAAACGTAATTTCTATTAGGGGTTCTCCTCTCATACGTATGATTTATTTCTAGAGTTCGTTTTCAAAGATTCAGTGATCCAGACAGACTTTTTTTATCAAGATTTAAATGTGAATTTTGATTTTAACAGCTGATCTGTCAGAAATTTTTAACTACAGTCATAATGTAAACAAGAGACAATACCGTTTATGAAAATGGATTTTCAATTAATTGGCTTCTTTATTGTTGATTATAATATGTTCGCCTTAGATAAATTACTCTTTATGGTGTATATCTAAAATCAAAAAATCTAATTTATTGTAAACTGGTAGTTTTATTCACTTTATGGATGTATTGTAGCAATATTTGAATATTAAAACGGTCATGTATAGTGAATTGTTTATTGTTTATAGTACTATGTTACGTTTAACTATATAAAATATGTTTTAAATCCCCCCGATAAGGGATATTTTTTTATGATTAATGCATATGCGAAACTCACAAAAGCTTTATCTTTTGATCGATTTAGTATGATAAAACATTCATCAGGGCAAAAGCGTTTCACAGTTGCATTTAAACATTGTCTATTTTACAAAGTATTAGTAGTGTAATTAAATTTTATGTCAGAAATGCATCAATGATGCAGAATGTTTATTAATTAATTTTCGTGTTTTAAATTAGAAAAACTGGTGGCGGATTCAGCGTTGAATTGTATTTTAATAATAATGGGTGTTATGTTATTTTGTGTAAAATACACTTGTTGAAAGCATAAATTCGTTTGTTAAACAACAATATAAAGCACACTAGCTGATGAAAATAATTATTGTCCTATGAAATATTTAGGATATGCAGGTAGTGTTAATCGGGGTATTTTTTTTATTATGTCCTTTTATTAAAATATTAACCACGAAAATATTGCGAAAAATTTTGTTAAATTTAATAAATTCACCGGCTGTAAATGAGGAAAAATATAGTCTTTGTTTCAATTTTTATTTCATAATCGTAATATTTAAATTTAAATATATTTTTAGTGAGAGTACAAAACAAAACATTATTGATTCATGAAGACTTAAATATATAGGTGATTAAAATAGTTAATATCACACAGAGTGTGCAAATAATAATATTTTATATTAACATTTAAAAATATTAAACATTCTTTTTGTCAAACACTAATTCGTATACAGTTTATTTACGTTCATAAGTCACTGATAAACAATTCGATTTTAGGATTTTAAATCAATTATTCTGCAGTAAAAATCAGAAAAAGTAGTTTATACTATGTACATTGTAATTGGGGATGTAGGAACCAGTGTTTAATTTACCGCAGTATTTATTGGGGAGTAAGCAAGAGGTAGAGCATGGGCTCGGGTCCCGATGTCCCGTGTTCAAATTCTGCCAATCACCAATGGAATTTATCTATGTGATAAAACCGGACCCTCTAACATTTTAGTCCGAAGTAATTTGTAAAATAGTTCCGGGCTTAAACCTAGCATCCTATAATGTGATGGAAGGACTAAAAAGTGTTCACCTTAATTAATTATGCTTACATACGTTACCTAGTCAGAGCCAAGAGCAGAATACTACAGCTAGTTAAAATTTGACAAATAGGTTATCATTATGAACGGTTTATTTTCAATGATTATAAGTGTCAAAAGTCAGCCAATATCGCAAAGTAGGTAAATTGCAGCACTGGTCCTACTAATGTTTGTCTCCTAATGTCTGCAGGGTGTAGCTGCCAATTACTTGGAAACTCATCGAGAAACACATTCAACTCACCAACTGCATTTAATGAAATTAAAACGGATTTTCAAGCTCCAGTCTATTTAAATAGCACTGGCTTAGGATCAGCACTATCCAATGGAAATATAACTGGGACAAACAAGATTTCAGATACATTGGAGGAATTTAATTTGAAAAACAAAACCTCAAGTTCGAAGTTATCACTCGTCGCATTAGGTAAGTAAGGAAGTTAAGCAAACGATTTTAGATTAATTTAAAACTTAAAGTATTTTTTTATCGATCAATCCATAAAGCATTTAGCAGGAATAGGATTATTTTTATAACATTATACATCATGTATTTAATTTTGTTGTTAAAATGTTAATTATTTAGCTGAAAATATCCCTAGAATCTAGTTGTGTCATTCATTTTTACCAACGACAGTTTTTTAACATGCCGTTTCCGTTCAGTTTTTAGAATTGAACAGATTTACTGAACTAGTTTGGTTTGGTAATTCTGGTTTATTTATTAAACAGCATTGTTTTACTTAACAAAAGTAGTAACGGACCAATGAGGTTCAAGGATTGAGAGAAAAGAAGTAAAATTGTAACTCACCGAACTTCAACAAATCATATGTTAAGATAATATTTAAGACCATTTTAATTATTGTAATGGGTGGTGCAATTAGTGGTTGATACAATGGTTCGTTGAATCAATGTCAGGGGCAATAAGAGGTTATAAACGAAAACATAACCTCTGTTAGAAGTTATGAGTTGTGATTGTTAGTAATTAAAAAAACGGTCATAGGTAAAGTAGTGTACGCAACTCGCGTAAATATACACTCGTAGAAGTTTTTAAGGCACTCCCCAAGAGTACATTACATTTTTCCTCGTGCTGTTAACACTAACTTTACGCGATCGTTGCGTAAACTACTATATTATAACAGTATAAGGGTAAATATACATGAAAAAAATCATTGTAATGAGTATTTGCAAAATAATGCTCATGTCAATGGCATAAATTAATTAAAAACATTCTTAAATTATTTTGGAACACAATATTTTAGAAACGATCCTAAATAAATATTCTTTTCACTTATATGACCTTGAAATATGAAATGTAAGAATTAAATTAGTATATGAATGCAAATAATTATGTTCCTTGATTTTTTTTCATAGAATCAGTGACAGACAGTTTGCAATCGTCTATAATTATTGATGTTTTGCCAAATCGAAACACTATCCTTTATTAATTTTAGGTCCGCCGATTTCCGTCAAAGTGCTTCACGGAGAGGAAAGCGCCATTTCAATTTCTGACACGGTGACAAAAAAGCGACTTCCAGAAATATTGAAGAGAGATAATCTGAATGTCTACAGCATCGATTATGTGTATAACGAGACACTCGTGTTTTTTGCTGCTTACGGCAAAATATTCAGGTAATACTCCACTTGTCTTATCGTAATATTTTATAACTCTCTAACGATGTTTTGAGAGTTACAAGAGAGTGATTTATTTCAAATTACTTATACGTTTTACCGTTAGGGAATGTATTTTTTTATGAAGATAATTTTTCAGTACTATGTTGTGTTGAATTTTTACGTTATGAAATTTACAACTTCTTATTTTGCGTGCAACGGAATTGAACCAGTACCCCAAAATGTATCTTATTCAAATACTATTTTTAAATATTGTACAGGTTTTATGCACCCTGAGTGAAACAACTAAATGGAAACAAATACTTATACAATTCAAATATCACTTATTTTTCCGTTTCAATAATGATAGAAGTATCCAAAAGTCAATTTTGTTACCTAATATCTAAATAGATTTAACTGTCGAATTCGTAATTTTTACCATTGGGTACTGAACACAATAATCAGGAATAATACATAGGCCTACTAACGTTGAATAACTATTACATGTATTATTATAACGGTAAACATAAGAGTAATTCACACATTTTCGTGTGAAAATTCAAAGTAAACTAGCAGTTTTTACACAGCCTATTTTCCGAGCTATGATTGATTTCTCACAAAACACTATTGACCTTCATTTAGATTTTAAAATACATCCCATCAATGTGGACCAAACGATGATTTTTTTTTTATTTTTCTTGTACATAAGTGAATGGACCACTCATAGAGTATTTATTATTGGAGTATGTTTTATCCATAATGTTATATAGTCCAAAATTATATTTCCTTCCGTATTATTTTGTATTACTGTGATAGTTGATTTAACATAAAAGTACACTATTGTTGACTATAATTCGTTCTTTCAGTTTAGATTAGATAATTAGTAATTTACATCATCACACACTATCTGGGGCTCAATTCAACCACCAGTTTTTTCTAAAACTTGTAACAACTTAACTGGGAAAATGTTCATAGTTTTATCATTAGTGACAGATGGAACTCTGAAATAATTGTAAACCAATACCATAGCTGTCTTAATCTTGAACAATTTCTTTCTCCTCGTATTTCAGAGCCACTCTTGAAGGAAGATCGGCCATTTCCAACCCTGTAGTGATTGTTGCCCATGAGGTAGAAGGCCCCGTTAGACTGGCAGTGGACTGGGTACACAGTAGGTTATACTGGATGGCGGACAAATATCAAACTGTGATGTCAGCCGATCTTCACGGCAAGAACCGCAAATTGCTTTTTGACAGCATCAAGAACTTTAGCTTCCCGAACAACATTGTTGTGGATCCGTATGAGAGGTATTGGGTAGTGTTGTTAGCATAATCCTTAGGGTAGAAGAGTTCTTTCTTTACAGATTGTAACAGGATGTAAGGTTGTTTTTGAGTATCCAAAAACAATGTTTGTCCTACCACTGCATGGAAATTATCGAATTTCCTCATCTATAACAGTACGCAAAATTGCTAATTTCTGCTTTATTCATTTCTGCTTGCTGAACTGGATGATTTCACTGTTTGCGTTTCTATAAAACACAATAGATTGGTGGGTCAAGGTAATGTTTTAAATAGGCCAGCTATTATTCAACCGCCAGTTCTACTTGAGTTGGCTATACCATCTGGTAATGTATCTATGAAAGTCATTGGTTGATTGCAAGTATTTAACCTCAGAACACTCTAACATCTATTTACAGATCAATCTTTTTTTTCAAACCTAATTTAGATTTTTATATATAAGTAAAAAGTTTAAAATATGTGTGTCATATTGTAAGTTAATTATGGTGGAAAGAAAAATCTTGTGTGTATAAAGAAGACAAACAGTCATTGCCGCTATCGCATTGTATGGCCACATTCAGCTAAAGCTTAGTCGGGCTACTTCAGTTCTCGATCAGCAAAGACGTACTTTGCGCTCTTAATACACAAATATCTATATTTTTCAACCGTATATATGTTTCAACCTGTGGCTTTCAAGAGAAAACTGATTGTAGCATTCTGACTCACTCTGACCGTGAGTTTGTAAGTGTATCCTATATACAGTCTAGGACTCAGTACAGTCCCTTCGTACCACGAGTAACTAGAACGAAACCCTTATCGGATGACTTGACTGGACCGCGTCTCTTACGTCTCAACGGATCACGGAAGTTACTTTAGAAAACCGAGAAAAGATTCTGGTATCGCTTGGCTCACTTTGAGTATACAGTATTACCTCAGGACAGGTCGACTATTATACCTATATTTAGGTATAAAAAATATAAATTAAACGAGCTTAACAAGATGGTTGGTTGTAGTAATTGCCTAGTAAATGATGATTCCCTGATTTAATTAAGAGCAAAAATATTTAGTCACCTAAAACTGGACCAAGCTGTATGTTCACAAAACTTTTTCTCCAAACAGTTTACCGCTGAAATTATATCAAATCTAAAACTAAATTGTTACAGAATGATCTTCTTCGTAAGCAACTACGCCATTTACACTTCCGATCTCAGCGGGGAGAACGTCACGATGGTCCTCCTGGAAGGTAACTATCCCGGGGAGGTTGGTAGAGGTGTCCGCTGCGTCGCCTTGGACAGAGCCAACCGCAAACTGTACTTCTCAGGCAGGAACTTCGAAGAGGCTGACACCATGTTCTACCTGGCTAGAGCCAACTACGATGGTAGCGAGGTGGAAGACTTCAACACCACTGGAGTAGGAGATGTATACAGCATGGAGGTCCTGGGAGACACGCTGTACTTCGCCCAACACACAGAAGAAGTTTGCCACGACGAGGTGTTGTCCGTGAAGACTACATCGCGGGAAAGGTTCACTCCTAGGAAGATATTTGTACCGAGTCTTTGCAAAAGTGTGAGTTAAAAATACCCGACTTAAATAATTCTACTGTAACATTTTGTGTTTACGATTTATCTATTTTGGTATTTTTATGTTTTTGTAAGGAAACGGTCTGTGGTTTACTGTTAAAAGCAATATACACAATCAATCTTAGGCTCAATCTGATCTTTTTTGGAGGAACGAGCTGGTCTATAGCGGAGTTTTAATCCTGTAGGTCAATTGTTAAAATTCCATCAACTTTTAATGGGTCTTAAATATAGTGTCAAAACCCTTTAGACCTGGCGTGAAGTAATGTGTATGTTCCGGGCTAGCTTATTACGATGTTTTTTTCTTCAATAAAATCCCTTGGTGGTTGGCACGATTTGAACCCGAAACTTCGGGGGCCGAGGTCCCGCTCTACCACTAGACCAGCTCACTTCCCCATCTCGTGTAATACGATCTGCAAATAGTGCATAATAAAATGAGCTTTCTGATCACAATATGGAACCAACGACCTAAATAATTAAAGTCGCACTTAGCACTTCTTAGGAGTCAACCCTTTGGATTAATTCAAAAACCACTTTTTGCCAAGTGTTTTACTGACTCTAGACTCTCCCTCTTATCCGGACACCCTTTAACCGGACATTGGTTTGACCTGACAACAACTGTTAGTAGGCACATCTCTTTATACTTTTTTATTCTTTTCTTTGAAATGGCGACCGTACAAAGTAGGTATTTTAAGCCAAGTACATGAATGGAGATGATTGTATGATGAGTGGCGCGATCTTGTAGTCTTGTTAGTGACTAAGGCCGACATATTCCTTAAACACAGCTGTTAATTAATAGCCCATACAGCTAATAGCGACTAAGGGACCTACAGTTTTATAGTGGAATCCGAACCACTTTTTTCCTTGGTATATACGAATTGGTCTAATTATCAGGATGGTACTGCGGATAGTCGTACTTTAACCAGACAATGTTTAGAAGTTTATATGCAAATCAGTTTAACCGAGCTGGATCAACTTTCTCGAGAGAGATAGTTAAAACCAGTGGTCACGTGGATAAAGAAATTCCTCTCCAAATCTAGGTTAAATATTTAGGTTATTTTTTTTGTGATTCCATGTCTTAAATTGGACGTCGATTTAACCGGAAAGTCCGGACTAGTCTCTGTCTCAACGAGTCCGGATAGGAGGAGGTTTTCTGTCACACCATTGACCTTTATCGATCTACATTGCTGCTACTTACTAATGTAATACTTAAAAGTACACCCTCCATTCAATAAGTATTGGGACTGATTGAACCCAGTTGGGTTTGATAGAGGGGTCCTCACCATTCAGGGGCACTTAAGTTTAGTCACCTACAGGCATTCGTTGAGAGAGGACGTCGATTTTTGCGCCGAGTGTTTTTTTCATTGTGTCGTCCATCCAACATGGAGCGTACCGTCGAGCAACGCTGTGAGTTTTTGCTTTAAACTCGGAAAATCCAAGTCCATTTCAAATAAAAATCTAGTGAGATGTCCACATCAACATAGTTAGATTATAATAATTGAAAATAGTTATTTATTCACAATATTTGTTTGACTATCTTCCTTTTCATTTTTTTACATAATGTTTTTGGCTCAATGTTATGTCACTAAATTTAGCATTGAGTGTCTTTAAAACAACGATAATGTTGGAAAAAAAGCAAGTAATACTTTTATTTTTCAGAACATGTGGGGCATCAAGGTACTACATCCATGTGTTCAAAGACATCCAAACGACAAATACTGCTCCGATTTTTACATCTAGTATCGAACATATTTTCAAAAGTTCTGACTTCAAATACAACAATAAACAATTACGTTTTGCATGTATTTTCCTAACACTTCTTTGGTGGTAATTCTGTTGTAGAAGTTTAATAAGCCATTAAATCAATACACCAAAATACTTATTGGTTGTGACTAATTGATCGATCGTTATTAAGCAATCATTTTATGAAAATAAAGATCTAACGGTTGTTATGATTCTCTGTTGTTACATTATTAGTTTATAATCCATTGGAGATTAAATATGTAGAGTGATTTAAAAAGAGTTTTTCATTAAAAAAATTACAACAATAATGAAATGTTATTTACACTATGACCTTCTAAATATTATTCTATAAATTGTGCAACATTTCAAAGCAATTTTAAACATCACAGTGCAATTTGGTCTCTCCCTTCCCTTAGTCTCATTTTCGTCTCAGTTATTTGGGAAATTTCATCCGACTGTAATTTTCTCCCTTTTCATTTTATTTTCTTCCTTTGTCTTTTCTCCAAAATTAATCAAGGGGGCTTTGAACTTTTCACTGCCCCATATAAATGTGAAATGTAGTATCTAATCACACTTGATCATGTAAATAAATATTTAATATATAACAATATTTCAAAGATGTTAGGCCTACAAATATTGTGGACAATAAAAATATTAGTTGAAGTTTAATTGACGAATTTTATTTTTCTGGTAAATAGAAGGTAAACTGAATTAGTTTTTTTATCGTATTTACTTAATACGTTTCTATTTCATATACCTGTACCTTTCCCGCTCAAAATATTAAAATAACTTAAATATCAAGTACTATTGTTGTTAAGCTTCTCATCGAATTTTTACACTGTAAAATAATCCTCACTTTGATCTATAAGTGAATGGTCCCCTAAGTTTCTATAGCTTTAGTCTTTAGGCATATAACACAATAGTAGTTATAATGTCCACATAGGATATTATGACAGTCATTAATTTAACTCCATTATATTTTACGGATCCATTATCTTTATCATTTGAGCACAATTCGCCATCATTTGGCTCATTTGCTGACCAAGGAGTCTTACAACCGTTACTTCTAATCACCGTCGTCTGAAGTAACTGACAGCAGACCAGTAGGAGGCTGAGCTGCAGCATGACCTGTAGAAGTTTGTGTATACCAATTGTTCTTGCTTTAGGTAAATATTAGTTTTATTTTTAGAAAAAAGCTTACATATAAAGTGTTAACAATTTGAGAAATCCCGTCTTTAATATTTTGAGTTTTAAAGGCCGTAATGTTGACGCATGTTTACATTGTTAGATTTGATCAGTTCTGATGTACTATTGATTGTGATTATCTAAAATATTTTATTTAATAACCCTGATTTGAATCTGTTTAGAGTTTTGTTCATTCATTTCGTTAAAATATGTAACAAAACAGATGTATCAAAAACGTTTATGTTTAATCATACATGTACATACGTGTCCCACGAAAAGGTCCCTTTTTTAATTAATATATTAGACGCAACGAACACTCAAAAGACCTGAATCTGAACTGTCCTAACATTCACTATGTAAAATAAATACCCCTGAATATCAGTTAATACTGACACATTAGGACAAAATGGCAGAATATTGAAGAAATATACATTTTTGATGCCTAAAATACGATTGCTGATTTTGTAGTTTTTTAGCTTTTCCTCAATTTTGTTTGGATCAGTCAGAATTGATTGAGATTCGGGGAAAACACCTTTACATGTGTTAGTCACGACTGTGGAATTTCAAGTCTGTAGCGCGCTTTATACGTCTGTCATATCAATTCAAAAATAAAATAATACCGTGGGTCATCCGCTATTAAGTCAAGATTCGGTTTTATTTTTGAAAGTAAAAATTTCCATAAATATCACTTTTAAAAAGGTCACTTAGCTACAATATTGGAAATATCTAAAATAAATAATTGAAAATTAATGTAAGTTTTTTTACTTATAGTATAAGCTTTCGCACTATAAAGAGTAATTTATTTTACAAATTAACTAATAGTATTATATATGTAGTATCAAGGTATTTTTTACCAAATCTGTTTTTCAAATTTTCTAATAAATAGTGCAATAAGTACACATAATATAACTAACAATTTCAGCATGCAACACAAATATTTCATTAGTTTTATTAAAATACTTAGACAAATCTTTGTATAAACTTATACAACAAAAAACATTTACAATAGCTTGCCATAGCATAAGATAAGATTGGTTGGATTTTATACTATTTGTGTTTTAGCATACCATATGGCGAATGGTGGATCAAGCCCATTCAATGATGTAGAATCAGAATCTACAACTCCGGAAAGCATGTATCAATACGAAACTGGAAGTTCAGTAGAGTCAAATAATTATTCAACAATACCGTTCTCTGAAACTATTACGACTGAAGTTAATGATGGAAGCTCAGGAGGCAATATGACTGACAACATTGGGGACATAGTTGACAGAAAAGAAAATAATGGAAACATTTCTATTGAAGAATCGGATACGACTGAAGGTATTAGTACATTTTTCAATAAGAACGTGAATAGTTGTTGAATTTATATAAGTTGACGTGTCATTTTCAGTCTAGTAAAATGTGTTTGTCTCATATGGCTTTGGTGGACAATATTCTCTAATATAGGTATAATAATCTTTCATTCTAGCGGATTTCAACCATTGTTTGATAAAAATTCATGTTAACTTCCACCAAGACGTGATTGAGCCATGCGATCGAGCTCATCTTGAAAATGAACGAGTATTTGAAATAAAACCACATTAGGACAGGACGACGTCTGTCGGGCCAGCTAGTGTAGCTATAATTTGTCGGTGTCCAATTGACGTTGTATCATCAGACCCAATAGGCAAATGTATCAATCATTCGCCTATTGGGTCTGATGATGATTGGAGTGTCCAATCGAAATCGATCACCACTTACCAACTTTTATATGTATTTACCGTCTTGTGAGTTAACAGTATAAGTGCAAATATATTATTACAAGTGTTATTAGACGTATATATTTTTGTTTTTTACAGGCAATTTAATAACACGTAATATGCTGATCAGGAAGTTATTCTTTAAATAAACATGCAACTGTCCAAAACCATATTCTTTTTCTCTGACAGCGAAATAAATAAAAATATTTTTTATTAGATAATAAGTTCCAAATATTATGATCAAAAAGTATTGTTGATGCTTAGCCTAGATGTGACTACTTAATTAAATAAAAGTGTAACATATTCGAAAAAATACCTATCGGATTTAACTCTTCATAAAACCCAACTACAAAAACTACTAACAAAAACCGCTTTTACTTTACTTTTACGAAAAACTTTGCCTAATATTTAGATGACCTTCATATGTGTTGCAAATCTGTCTAACTTACTACCCATTGTCCTTTCAGATACAAGTCGTATATCTGTCAAAATACTTATCGGACAGTATGATAGGTTATCTGTACTTGATCTCGCCACGAAAAAACTTCTTCCACCCCTCAGGGACGAAGAATATGTTCAATTCAGGAGCATCGACTACTTATACAATGAAAGCCTAATTTTCTACTCGGCTAACAGCAGTATTATGAGGTAAACTTTTGTATAATTAAACTAATATATACCTTAGGCAGAAAATCTGCAAACTAAATCAATTTTTATCTTCCTGATTATATTGTTCTCTTTCCTTTGAACTGTCACATTTATTCATTTAAATAAAATTAGGTTCAATGGGTAATTGGCGTTGCTGCTACAGGGAAGGTAATAAAGTGATTTTCATATAATATATTAGTATTAAATAAATAAATTCGCCGAATTTGATTAAAATAAACCACTAACCAAGCAAACTACTACAGTTTACGCATCAACTCAAATATTTAACCTTTTTTAGAACACAGGCAAGATCAAAAGTAATCAAATATAAAATTCAAGTTCTTAAAACTAGATGGCAGTACAATGTTTTTAGATTTTCAAATATTTTATCATTAAGATGGTAGGCAATTAGGCAATTATTGATTTGCAATACCAATGGATTTAGGTTGTTGACAACTCTGTGCAGTACTCTTGAGAATCTAATTCACACGATAGTGATTAGGGTGGTGATTATCAAATTAATTTTCAATTGATTTCAGAGCTACATTAGATGAAGATTTCCGACTAACCGAGGATATAGTGATAGTAAACAACACAGTTAATGTAAGCTTAGCCGTAGACTGGGTCAACAAAGAGCTTTACTGGATAGAAGAAAATTACCAGCGGCTCATGAAATCCGATCTAGAAGGTGGAAATCAAAAGATTGTGGTGCAAAACTCGACAGCGTATAGCTTCAATTTTCCCAATAACATTGTCGTGGACCCGTGTAAAGGGTAAGGTAGAGTTTAAATTAGCTTGAGAATATTTATTGTAGATACTCATAAAACCAAATCGCTTCATGTCCTAAAATTAAATCCTTATTGAGGAGATAAAACAGTAATAATTCCGTTCCCTAACAGGCTCTTCGAAACTTTTGATACATTAGAGATCGTCTCTTTTTTATAGAACTATAATAATTGCAAAGGAATTAAATCTTTGACATCAGGATTAAATTCCAAAGGCAATGCACATTTTGAAGCATGTAAATGTCATAAAATAGGACAAATTGAAAGGGAAGACAGGAAAACTAAAAAAATCTTGTTTGGTAAGTAGATTGGTGAAATTTAGTTGAGAATCGCTTAATGTATAACTAAAAACATATTTTAAATTACTAATTTTATCTTACAAAATAAATGTGTAGAATATGTTTCTTTGCTTTCAGCCTCGTATTCTTTGTGAGTAACCACGCAGTTTACAAAATTGTGTCAAACAATGGAGACATAAAACAGGTTGAAGTAGATGGGAATGAAGCTGGAGTTAGGGAAAGAGGTGTAAGAACGATAGCACTTGACAGAACTAATGAATGTATTTATATCTCTGGGGAAGATTTAGAAGAGGCAGTCAACACTCATTACTTAGCAAGAGTCTCCTATGATGGTAGTGACATTAAAGAATTTCCAATGAAGGGCATGGGTGATATCTTCAGCATGGATGTGTTTGATGGTACATTATATTTAGCTGACTATGAATCCGGAGTTGGAGAACACCTGTTGTCAGTTAGTACGACTATATCTGATAAACTTTCCACCACAAAACTGTTCGTACCATGGAGATATTACCAGGTCAGTATATTCATAACTGCAATAATTCTAGTTGTAATAGAATTTAACATATTTCGTCATAAAAATGCATGGGTGACCAAGAGTTGACAAATCTACCAACTACCAACTGTGTTTTTAAAGTTCATTTTAGCGAAGGATAACTATTTTAATTATTTTAGTTTATGAACCTTACCTATTCTGAATGTTTTAACTACACTACGTCAAACGGGAGGAGTCTCCTTACCTCCCGAATTGTGGTAAAGTCCAAACACTTGTCGTAGGAAAATTCCATAAACAAAAATACGGGGCTATTCAAAAATATGGACCCAACTTCATGACTTTGTATCTACAAAAAGTATAAATCGGACTTTACACCATTAAATAGGGGAAATTTCAAAGTGTTTTAAACATATTTCCGTAAGCAGCCGAAAAAGTTATCCCAAAAATGAACAGCCATTTTGGTTTACAATTGTTAGTAGGATGCCTATCATGCAACATAAAATTTTCTTTGTGACAGAGTTTACAAAACTGAGTCTTCTTTTCGCATCAAATTCGATAATCAACCACCGGCTAGAAAAAGCATAACTCATTGGTTTAGGCAATTTGAACAAATTTGTGACACAAGAGATGCTGTCTGATATGTGGGAATCAAATGGCTCTCGCTTAAATGTGTGCCGAGCATTTGAATTTAGTGTAGATACAACTTTGAAATCTTCTCTTTCAACTTGTTCCCGCTTTACATTTCGTGATACAAAAACCCAAAACTGGGCCTATATTTTTGAATAGCCCTGTATATCAATCCTACATATATTTTTTCCGAGCTATTTTATACGAGCTATGTCTGTTTGTCTGTTTGTAACATATACCTCAAAATCCATCGGATTGATTTTGTCTAAATTTTAGAATTATGGACTTTTAGCCCTACAAACGGGATTGGTGATAGACACTACTTAGGAAAATTCGTATTTCTCTACACAACTCGTTTGAAAATTTAAAAATTTAACATCAGTCTAACATAGGCCAAGTTACTATGTTGGTTGAACAAAATAACAAGGAAAAGTAAACAAAAGAATTATCATATGTGTTTATAACAAGCCATCCACAGTACACTAGCAAATTACAAAATACAGTACAAAGGAAAAGAATATCAGTTGTAACTATTGAGCAAAGATTACACTGAAGATTATTCGATATATGGGAAACCATTTTCGATCAAATACTGATTATTTTACTTAGCTGCATCCCACCAAAACTTAATCCCCGAAGTTCTGTGGCATTCCAAGTGAACTAATTACTTCTGGGGGTTTTAATTGTCATAAAACTATTACCACATGCTAAATCCCAAAGAAATAAAGACAGAATCTCAATTTCTTTAAAATTAGTGAAAGGGTGAAAAATCTTTGTCACAAACCATTTTGAAACTACTGTACTATGATTTTGTTTAGATAATATTTTTATCTGCTATCATTCGTGAGCGTAAAAGTCTAACCACGGGATTCATTTACTAGACGGTAGAAAAATTCTATGCAAGTATCACTTCAACTTTAACAAGATCAGTTTATTTTTCTTTACTTGCATATTTTTACATTACAGAGTTGTTATTATTTCAGCCACCAAATGTCTTTGGTTTGTATTTAAAATGTTTTCGTAAATTATAAAATGTCTGTTTACGATTTGTTCGGTTAACCCAATCAAATACAACCGATCAAGGCTCGATTTATACTAAATAGGCAAACGTGATTTTTGTCGGCAGAACGCCTCCATGGTTTTGCAACCATTTGTTTTTTTTTTTTTATTTATGGCTCATTGGAAATATCTCATTGTGTAAATGTTATTTTTATAAGGCCTTACATGTTGAAAATGTTCCGGGTGGTATGATAAAAATTGATTTTTAAATAGAACTTTTTTGTAATTGCAGCCTGATTGTAGGTAAATCATTCTGGATTTAGATCTTTACAAAGTAAAAGGATATTGCATTATGTTTTTTTACAGTTGGAGCCTAATAAAATGCGCAATACATACCCTCGTAAAATTAATGTAAAATACCTTTTAAACATATATTTTTATATTTTAACGGATCAGAATAAAACACACAGTGTCTTTCAAAACGAGTTGTTCCTTACAATATCAACGGACGGTTTGAATACACAGTCATTTTTACAGGACTTACAATTAATTGTAACACTTCTGAAATAATAACTTTGACGCTGTTCTGTTCCAGAGCATTTATAACGTGAAGATATACGGGCCGAGGATTCAGACCTGTAGAACTGACTAAAAGTAGCATTTTTGCTGTTATTGAACCATTATTTACCAATTTATAAATTTGTTGACTATTTACTGACATCATAAAGAAAATGTATATTGTATTTTGTAATAAACAGTTAATTTATAGCTTGAACAGTATTGTATTCTGTGCATGTCACCCATATGCTCATATACAACTATTTCTCTAGTTGTGAAGAATACGTAAAATAAAACAAATAAAATGTAATAAATACATTTTAGCCTTTTTTATTCTCTAATATTCTAGCCTGGAGTTGTTTTACACTTTACTTAAATGAGTAAATGAATAAATGAATGAAAATACTTATTTATTGAGTCAAATAATTATTTGTTAAAGAAAATTTGTTTAAAATACTGTTTACAGAGAGGAAATCAGATATTTGAGAATGGACTACTATTTAGAGTGCCTTAGAGGGAGTTGGAAGAATACTAATTGGCCTATAATCTTGAGAAAGTTTGGGGGATGAGATCTTATTCAAAGGGCGGACTAAAGCAGCTAGCAGACTTCCATTTTTCTAGGAAAATACCTGTTCTTAGAGAAGAATTAAAAATTAAAAGTTACCGTAGGGAGGAGAGCAAACAAAACCCGTTTAGTTAGAGAAATTTTGAAATTGTCAGAACCAGTGACATAAGACGTAATTCGACTAATAGCGTTCAAAAGATCAGACTGCAAAATGGGTCGAAAATAAAATTCGGTAAAAACATTGTTTGAATTGCATTTTAGATTTAATTGATTTAAATGGTTTTGGATAGCTGTGCAATTTGAATTGGTAGATGCTGATAAAAAATAATCATTCAAAGCATTTAACGGGACGGATACAATGTTAGGCTTTACTTGTTTTCCAAGACCAAACTGCTTTAAATTACGCCATAACACAGAACAAGTCTGGGGTTTTCCGTTTATAATAAATAAGTCAGTGAACAGTCTATGAAAGTAATGAAGGCGAGAGTTGCGTAATTGTTGCTTAACTTGGTTTCTGAGCCAACGGTATTGGGCCATTAGCCCCACGTCTCTACTTATATTGACTTCACACCTTTTCTACACTGTATTGACTTCAACTGTTGTTTATATTGCAACAGTTGAAGTCAATACGGTTTATTTTATTTTATTTATGAGAAATGTTTATTATCTATTTTGTATCTATTTCTATTTATTGTTATGAGAAAATAATACTTCATAATATATAATTCATTATATGCATCTATGTGTACATACACTTAATTTTATTTCGAATTATTATATAAAATGCATCTTACATTATTTATTAGTACTGTAAAAATGAGCTATTTTCGTATTATTTAATCTTTAAAAAGTTAAATTATTTTTCTAGTTCAATCAATGTTTATTACTTCAAGCTAGAGGGGTTCTCATCTTCATCAATTACATAAAATCCACAGATGATTGGTGGGATTAGACCCCGGGACCTCAGGGAACGATGTCCCGAGGTGCTCTACCACTAGCCAAGCCCCCTCTCCCACATAACCTTCATTGAATTTAAACCTACAATAGATCTTGTTACCGAACCAAAAGGTTATGATGGAATAAAACTTCAAACCCTCTGTCATAGAATTTATTCGATCGCACACTTCAACAATTGAGCATGATTTCTTTCTTATCACGTATATTATACAAATCGATCTAAAAGATATTACTTTCAATACAACTAAATGTTTTCCTATTCACACTTGAATTTTTTTACCTATTCTTACATATTGTCACCGTTTATAACATAACCTAGAATATTGCACATCAAATACTTTATTTTACATAGTCTTTTTTTTAGTTTTCACATTATTATATTCCTGTTATATGAGGTTTACGTTGTCCTCCCCCGTGTGGTATTCTGATGTTCCAGTCCCTTCCTGTTGTTCCTTCCCGTAGTTCCTGGAGTAAGGGACGTCCCTTAGTTTACTCTCCAGGAGTCCCCAATACTTATCCAGCAGGTATACCATCCCTAGTGCTGATGCTAGGACTCCTATGATCAGCAGGACGGCAATGACCAGCGAAGCAGCAACTCCAGAACTGGTAAGGCGCGCCTTTTCCAGCACTAAAACATATTATCAATTTATCAATCATTGAGATGGGGATGCCACCTAGGTGCGTATTTTAACCCAAATATAAGTGAAGGATGAGTGTAGAATGGTGTGTGATGACCTGTGTAGCTTTGTTACTGACTAAGATCAGCTGTTTCATTAGTCAGGATCTTTTATTTAAAGGCCAATGATCAGGAACAGCTGGGTCCAGTTTCGAACCATCAACATACATAACAATAATAATTAAATTACACTAAATGATTTAGTGTAGCATTAAAAATTCACGAAATGTATAGCATGTAACAATATGCTATACGTATTGCTCTCCAGCCGATGTATCAAACATGCTTAATGATTTCTTCTTTTCAGTACCCAAGAATTTAAGAGAAGAAATTGATAGTGATAAAGATTGTTTTCATAATGAGTTTAATGTGCTTAAAGATAAATTCCAAAGTTTCGCATGCAATGACTCAATTTTCTTTTACCCAACATACGAGGAAGAAATACTAACGATAATAAAGAATCTGAAAAATAACAAATCCCCAGGATATAACAATGTAACACCCATTGTAATAAAAGAAATATCTGATTCCATTGTAAACATACTAGTCTATATTTTTAATTTAAGTTTATCAAGTGGTGAATTCCCATCAAAATTGAAAAAAACTGTAATAATACCATTATTTAAGAAAAATGACAAACATGACCCAAAAAATTATAGACCAATAGCTCTTTTATCTATTTTTTCAAAAATTCTAGAAAAGATTGTTAAGGTGCGATTGGTTAACTTTCTAAATAAGCATAGATTTTTTTAGCAAAAATCAATTTGGCTTTCAAAGTAAATTAAATACAAGCTCTGCTCTAATAAACTTTATGTCTGAAGTATACACAACCATTAATGATGGTAAACTTAGTGTCGGTATTTTTGTAGACTTAATGAAAGCGTTTGACACAGTAGACCACGGCATAATATTGTGTAGGATGTACAATGCAGGAATTCGTGGAGTTCCACTGGCGTGGTTTCGATCATATTTAGAGGGTAGAAGGCAAGTCACAAAAGTAAACAATACAGTGAGTGAAGAGGTTAAAATTGAGCTTGGTATACCCCAAGGGTCAGTGTCGTCTGGTCCACTTTTCCTTATATATGTCAATGACTTGTGCAATGGCAATTTTAAAGGCAAGTTGGTGGCTTTTGCTGATGATACCGCATTATCCTATGAGGTGATTTCAATTCAAGATCTCAAGGATCAAATGCAACATGACATTAATATGCTTAGATATTGGTTTTCCAATAATCTTATGGTTATGAGCCCAAAAACAAAGTATATTATTTTTAATATGACTTTTTAAATTACTTAAAAACAAAATTAGTCAAGAACATACGAATATTTTATATCCTTAGGTCCGTTTGCTATACTCAACTGATGAGAACAATTTATTTCGCATTTATCAACTCTAAAATAGATGATTGAATAGAAATATGGGGTGGAACATATTTTAACAGCCTAAAACCAATCATTACTTTACAAAAATCTTTCATCAGGGTAATGCTAAATAAAACCAAAACTGAACCTTCATCCCCACTTTTCAAAATTATTGAAATATTACCTATTAGGAATCTATATGTTTACAAAGTTCTGAAAATATATTTCAATAGATGTGGTACTGATAGAACATATCCAAGACATACTAGACTAAGAAGTAAAAACGACGTTTATGCACCTAAACCTAGACTAACAATATTTACAAAATTCTTCTTATATTTGGCTCCCACAAAAATGTGGGAAAAATAATAAAAATAAAAATATATAAATATAAAAATAACCTTCTTCCCGAGCCCTTCAAAGCAAGTGAAAACGTCAATGTATTCAGCAAATTAACACGAAACTACTTTCTCGAAATAGATAGTATAAACACATTTTTTACCTCATTGGTCTAACAATACAGCATAGTTATTTTTAATAATCTTACACTTATTAAGTCAGGGATGCACGTTATGTTCAAATAAGCTGTAAGTTCAGGACACTCCAAAATATTACTGTAATCACGACGATTGACAGTATAGGGTCAGTTTTAAAATAGATAGGTAGATAAGGTTTTGTTGTGATCGGTTGCTGTGTTAAAGCTATTGTTTGAAGCCTAGTTTTATATATTGTGTTTAATTTTGTAATAAAACTACTGTGGTAATGGTGACGGGCAGGACTTTCCAACCACGAGTTGCTTCAATTACCAAAAATGTTTGTTTCCCGCACAGGTTCTGTATGTAACCTCAGGGCTTTATTGTTCGATAACATTATAATTAGTTAGATTTATGTTGTGAGGAGTATTTCTGTTTTTAGATTATATTAGAATAAATACAATAACATGTAATACTTATGTACAACCTTAGTGTATAAAGATGTATTGTATTGTACCTATTGTATTTTAAAATAAAAATAAAGAATATTTCAATTCAACTCATATTGAAAAGTATAATCTTTGTGGTTAGGCTCATCCAGCGAAAAAGACGTTATCTTCAGGGTAACTTGACTTTCACACAGTTTATTATCAATTATCAAGTGGTACCAAGACTCTATATAAGTCAGCTGAGTGGAAGTGAAGATGTGTTAAGAATGGCACGGAATAGTATTATCATTATTAACAAGTAGAATGGTATGCCGCGTATTTTATATGAGTGAAGGATGAGTGTAGAATGAAGTGAGATGACTTGTGTAACTTTGTTATTGAGTAAGATCAGCAGTTTCATTAGACAGGGCATTTTATCAAAATCCACCAACATCTTTGCCTAAAGCTATCAACGATTTTGACGATTTTTGGTCGCTGTCCAAAAATCACGATTCTCCGACATTCAAACGTATTAGTGGAAAAGTCAAATGACTTGTGTATATCAAAGGTTGTTTACGCTACTATTTTAATAGCTAAACGAGTTATTCAAAATATAAAAACATGGATATTGTCATATTGATATTAGCGTTTGTGACATAAACCAGTCGCACAATATGTTAGTGTTTCTATATTTACCATTGAACACACAAAAGTGTAAATGGTTATACATGACCGCAGGAGAAGGGAAGCAGAACTGTGACTAATGACAAGCAATGACATATGACCTTGACTTTTAAAATCATGAGATGGTCTGGACAACCAATTAACTTTTCTTGGTGGATTGCTAATGGGTTTATCCCTCAAAATCTACATGTAGCTTCTTATTCAAAGCGAGAACCAATCCGCCCTTATATACTAATTAGGCTATAAATTAATTATGACATCTGGAAAAAGAACAAGTGAACATTAGATATTGACAAGATTTCATCTCCAAGTTCCAAAAAAGGAAAAAAATGTCTATGGTATGGACGAAATATAAAAAATCACACAAGCTTGTAAGCACCTACCATGGCAGGAAACATTGTCAGAGTTAAGTTCTTGTCCTGGTGGACATTTGCAGTACGCCCAAAGCCTCTTACGGTTGCTTCTAATGGCACAATCGTAAGAACAGTTCTTGTCCTCGCAAGGGTGGATCTTCGGCCGAGACTGAAGTAGGGGATGCACCACCCTCATGTGCCAGACTCCCTGCGGGACTAACATATGTTTAAGTATTTTCAAAAAGGAAGCTAATAAACTATACTCTGTATGATGAAACCTGTGTCCTGGTCCCTGTATTATTTATGAAATCACCATAGCATACGTTACATGGGAGTCCAATGATCATGATGGTCATGAAGTAAGTTGATGTTGTTGTTGATGTTTCTATGTAGTAAGTGGATGCACACACAATACGGCTTTTTTCCACTCGAACCAGGATAAAAATAAATGTCAGAATCATGTCTAATTATTACCTATGGTCTCCAAAGGACATGTTTTGAAAGCTGGAGGCCAAAAAATGCGTGTGAAAATACGTATCAAGTTGGCTGCTTCATTGTAACCGGTTAGCTTACACACTATTTTCTAGAAAGCATGTTTTATTTTCTCGTCTTAATAAAGCAAATAAAATTGTATTTTTAATATATATCCTTACGGATACGTCATTGCTACTTAACTTATAAACATTGACATCATGTAATGCCCAGATTTCACTTTTATAAGCTATACTCTGTATGATGGAGCCATTCTCCTGGCATTCCGTATAACTGGGCACTGGCCAATGGTTTAGGGAGTCATGTGTAGAAAAAGGGTAAGAAGACAGGTTCCATCATACAGATTATAGATCAATCTTCTACATAAATTAAAGAATATTTTTATACGACGGAAAAGTCTGAAAAAGAGAGAGAAAAAATTAATAAATTACTAAAATTACTGTAATTGGATGTAAAAATGTATTAGGTTAATAAAATACATTTTCGTAATTCATGTTATGGATATTAATACAGTTTGTGTTTCACGCCACTGCAATAGCTCCTAAATGGGTTACAAGATGTACTTAATATAAAATGATTAAACATATGGAATAAAATATTGGAAAGTTTTTACACTTTTGTAAATTAATTATAGAGTCTCTTACCAAAACGCGTCTTAATTTGCTAAGACAATTTAATGTACAGGGTCTCAAAATTTAACCCTTGACTAAATGTTAATACCACCACACAACCATAATATTCATTTTTCTCCCTTCGATAGCTGCACAGATGTTCGGTAAAACAATCTTCTAAATTGATTGCTTGGCTGCTAGACTTACCCTCTCAACGATGTGAAGCATGTTGACATCTTCTGCTCGGGTTAAGTTCAGAGGGGCTTCATATAGAATATCCCTTACATTGGCATAGTTGACCCAGAATATCTGCAGACATCGGATCATCATTAATAGGTACATTATTAATATTTTCCTTTCTATATTGTGAAAAGGTAATTATGTAATAAATTTATAATTCCCTAATTGTTTTAGGTCCTGTGAATTAAACGTTGTTAGTTTGTTGAGACTATTTTCACACTTTAAAAAAAAAGAGGTTGGCGGCCTCTTTTAACCTTGCATTTGCCCGTCCACATAGACTAAGCGCCCGTGCGTGGATCGTTTACAACAAAGCAAGGGGTGAGCCGGTACAGTACAAAGGTGAACTGTACTGATAAATTTTTTGTGGCAGTGACCAGGATCCGAACCCACGACATCGCTGCCTTGGGCCCGAAGTTCGCGACGCTACCGACTGAGCCACCGACTCACCACACACCTTCTTAACATAAATATCTACAGTGTTTATGGCAATCCTGATTAAAAAAGTTTGATTTAATATTAGAAATTTAAGATACATTGCTTAGGACCACCAGGTAGTGATGAAATACCTGCAGAGTGTAATTTGTGAAAATCTTTTGTCACTGGATAGAGGTTATGCACCAGGGATTTTAAGTGTGATATAATATATCAACCAAATGTGTGGGTACACATTGACGATTAAATATGATGATGGATATTTGGCATAAAACAAGATTTATTGACACAGAAGTTTTCTCTACAAACGTTTTCAACATGATATTCCACAATAATATTCTGAGAATCATATATTCAGACACTATGGTGTTTAAGGTTTTCCAACTGATTATATTAAACCGATTTAAATTGCGTTAGATGGCAACAATACTAAAGTGTAGCAGCAGTAAAAATACAATCTATTAAGTAAAGAAAGATACTTAGAGAAATCACTGGAATATCTGATGTCGCCAAACTTGCATCTGCTGACAAGAATACTTAGGAGGGTTAACTCGAGTATACAACACGTTAATAATACACTAGGAAGGCGACAATATTAAAAAGTCTACCTTCACATATTACTCCAAGGAAACGATTACAAAAATACCAAATAGAGGAAAAAATTAATGTATAAGCCAAGTTAGGTATAGTTGTAGGGGAAGGCTCCTTAAACAACATACTAAATGTTTTGACGGGTTAAGGTGGAATAAAGTTGGATAGGGTTATCTAAAGGTCATTTTTTAGGTTTTTCGTAATTGACTAAACTATGGCCTCCAGCAAAAAGTTTGTCATGGTTGTATCCAGAAAATCATCTAAAGCTAGTGTGGTTTCCATATCTCAGGTTCTTAGATGATGTTTTCAAACAACGGGTTGACGTTCGTTAAGTAGGTTTCCATTTTCCAACATCACATTCTGCCAGCGACCACAGAATTAAAATAGACCGGGCATGCCGAACGGTAGAGTGAAGCCTGTCTCAACGCCTCGTACATATCCAACATGGCGGCCGCAGTGATGAGTCACCCAAGTACCGCGCGCGCTCGACTCCAGGTAGCGCAAGTGGACTACTTCCGCTAAGCTTCCGGCTACTGTGACTGTCAGGGTAGAGGTGTATAGTCAATGCTGTCAGTCATCTCACAGTTATGGAGCAAGAGGCCATACAATTCGTTTGGCGATTTGATAGTTTTGATTTTATTCATCAGCATGCCCTTATGTTGTGTTGCGTATGGGTGTTTCAATAAAGGACGAGTTGGAGGAATCACCTACCACAGGTGAGTCGTAAGTTTGAGTTAAAATATAATTCATAATTTACAATTTAACTCAACAAATCAGATATATTTTTATTTTATTTTATACATAATATATGTCTTTATTTTAGTTTTCCCGCGAATGAAGATCTGCGGAGAAAATGGACTGTAGCTGTAAAAAGAAAAGACTGGAAGCCCACGAAATACAGCAAGCTTTGTTCTGTCCACTTTCGAGAAGAAGATTTCGATCGAACATCGCTCTCGTGTGTGAGGCTTCGGGAAGGAACAATCCCCTCAATCTTCCCAGCAATTTCAGAGGTAAAATTACGTCGTACGTTAAAGCGGAAACAAGACGACCCAGAGCCATTACATTCGGAACCACAAGTCAGCAACGTCAAAGTCGAATCACCGACAAAAAAAATTAAGATAGAATTATTAAAAACTAAATCTTCTCTGTTTAAGCAACAGAAAAAAGTAAAATCTTTGCAGCAAAGAAATAGAAGACTAAAAAAGAGAGTTTGTTCTTTAGAAAATATTATTAAGTCTCTCAAAGAAAAGCTTAATATGCATGATGAAGCATGTTCTTTTTTAACTTCAATTTCCCAAACAAGTGACTGCTTGATAAAAAGGTCTATTAATAAAGCCTTAAATCCAAAACTAAAAGAAACCTACGATGATAGGTTGAAAGCATTTGCCATCACATTGCACTTCTTATCGCCAAAGGCTTATTTTTTCGTAAGAAAAACTTTTAACACAGCTTTGCCTCACCCTAGAACATTGCGCCGATGGTATTCAAGCGTCAATGCGGACCCGGGATTTTCGACTGAGGTATTCCAAGCGCTTAGGGAACATTCAGAAAGCTCATCAAATACACCGATTTGCTCACTAATGTTTGATTGTATGGCCATTCGCAAAAGATTAGAATGGGATGGCAAGCGTATGCATGGCACTGTAAATGCGGGGGTTGCTGTCAATGACGACTCGGCACCCATGGCTACTGAGGCCCTTGTTTTTCATCTTGTATGTATTAACTCATCGTGGAAAATTCCTCTAGGGCATTTTTTTGTAGCTGGAATGTCAGGTGAACAACTTGCTGGCTTGGTTAAACAGTGTCTAGGCCTTCTTAGTGATGCTAAAATTGTGGTAGCAGGCTTAACATGCGATGGGACGGCTAGCAACATAGCAATGGCAAACCTGCTAGGTTGTAATATAAATGCTACAAATCTTGTTTCGTCGTTTGTAAATCCTCATACTAATGAGCCCATGCATTTTTCCTTGACCCTAGCCATATGATCAAACTTATAAGAAATACATTTGGAGAATCAAAAGTTTTGTTTGACCATGACAATAACGCTATTGAGTGGCGATACATAGAGATGTTGCATTCCATTCAGAAAAAGGAAGGACTTCATCTTGGAAACAAACTAAGCAATATCCATATCAACTATACCAAGCAAAAAATGAAGGTGAAGTTTGCAGTGCAAGTTTTAAGCACATCAGTCGCAGATTCTTTAGAATATCTTTTGCAAAACAAAGTCCCAGGTTTTGAAGATTGTGCTGCAACGATAAAGTTCATACGTATTTTTGATAAAGTATTTGACATCCTCAACTCCAGAAGTATCAGGGCTAGGTATGAAAAACAAGCGATGTGCCCATCAAACTTCAAAAGGATCTCAGAGTTTCTTGAAATCGCAGAAAGTTATATATCTGGATTAAAATATTCAAATAAAATTCCAATTTTGAAATCACAAAGAAAAACTGGTTTTATTGGCCTGCTTGTTTGCATCAAAAGCACACTTGCTCTGTACAACACATTTGTCATGGGTGAAAATAAACCTTTAAAGTATTTCCCGGTTTACAAAATAAGTCAGGACCATTTAGAAAGGCTATTTGGATATATTCGATCACGAGGAGGTCACAACAACAACCCCTCATGCAAACAATTTACCGCGACTTTTAGGAGAATACTTCTCCATAGAGAGCTCGAGGAATCTGACTCTGGTAACACTTTAATCCTAAACAAAACGTGTATTCTACAACTAAAATGTCCCAGAGATGAAATCGAAGAGATCAATTCTTCTACTTCAGACTGGAGATCAGTTGAAGCCAACGAAACCTCTGTGAATGCAGACAATTTAGACTTAGATGATGAAGAAGAGAATATTTTGAATATTTTAGGTTCCACCTCAGAAGTAAAGCAAGACATATTAGAGTATGTGGCCGGTTACATTGCTAGATCATTGCGTTTAAAGTTAAAGTGTATTGAATGTCAAAACTTACTTGTTTGTGAAAGACCAATGTTTGAAAAAAACAATCTTATTAGTTGTAAAAACCGTGGTGGATTGATACAACCATCTTCGGGACTAACAAAGCTTTGCTTACTAAGCGAATCAGTCCTACACTTTTTTCTTGTCACTGACACATTGAATGTAGTAGACGTAATGGTATCAAAAGTTTAAAAAAAATGTATTGGCCTTAACCTGTTTCCAAATGACCATTTCTTGGATCAGGATCCTATTGATAATCATTTTTTATTGTTAACTAAGGTAATTTGTAAAAAATTCTTCACAATCAGAATACATCACCACACAAAAATTCACAATGAAACACTTCACAGTTAGTTAGTTAGTCAGTTAGTTATTATTTTTGATGCAAATGAATACATTTTTATGTTAATATAAATATTAATATTATGTGGTTGGTAGACTAAAAATTTTACCAACAAACATATAATACCTTCCTGGGTATATAATTCGGAGTCCCGAAGCTGGGCTAAACGCAGTCGACCCGGCAAGTAGAGGCCGGGCGTGCGTTCAGGTTGCCGCGAACCGCATGAACGAAGCTTGTGTTATACCTGTTGTGTTGTATTATCAAAACTACAGTAGCTATTTTTTTCAAAAAATAAGTTTCAGAAAATATAGTATTCTGGCTACATTTCTCTCGCTTACATAACGCACCTGCCCTAAAAACAAAAAACTTCCTCGCAATGTAACTTTTTGATGTCACCAATTAAAATGTATAAAACAGTTTAAACTTTATTCAATTTTTATAATAGCAAACTATTTTAATTTTCTGATTATAAACATACCATTAGCATCCTACACTAATCTATATTAAGTATGTAAAGTTTCAAAGCGTTTTGAGCATGTTAAGGTAATAAAACAACAGTGTAAATGAAATGGGAGCACTGAACATTTTACACTTCTCTAGGCCCGCCCGACGTTTCTATACATATCCAAGATGGCGGACATGGCTTCAATTCCCGTAATCTAAAGGCTTATGGCATAGCCAGTCTATTTTAATTCTGTGGTCGCTGCATTCTGCACATTGCTAGGTTGCAGCTCGGCACAACTTTAAACCTTAATTCAGCCCAGGCCTAGAGGTTTGTGGCGTTATCATATAGTAAACAGCGATTTTGTAATATTATTTTAACCCAGGACTTTGAGGTATAAAGCCCACACTCTACCACTGCACCTCTATTTCAGCCCTAAAATTGTAATGACTACGGATTGGACGATTCTCTCACAAATATTAAAAAAAAAGTATAACTTACCCGTTCTCCAAGGACTGATAAACCGTAGACGCTCCGGAATTGTGCAATAGAAGTAATAAGTACTTTGTCTTCACCGTCGTAGTCCATGCTGTACAAGGAGCTTTGGTTAATCGCACCAACATAGTAGATTCTCCGCATCCTCCGATCCAACGCGAACCCTCGCACTGTCATCTCCGGTGCGGTCAGGTTGGAGTTGAAGCTCCCTCCAAGGAGGTCACATGATTGTATCACACCATTGGCCAACCAGACCACAATCCTAAAGGTGGAAGTTGACAGGTAAGTTATAAATAAGTAATATACCTGGTCCTTTCTAAGTTAGCAAATACATTGAGTGTATTTGAATCATCGTCAGAAGAATTTATGGAGCATTCAGGGTCTGAAGAATGTGGAAGGAAATTTTGCAAGGGAAAAATATCTTACACTTCACCAAAGCAAGAAGGATAAGTTGGTTCGTCCTCAAGCCAAAAGAATTGTTTTCGGAGAACATTGAAGGGCCCAACGTATGAGGTAGGCTGAGAATAAGGTTGGCTCAGGAAGTAGGTATTGATCCGAATACTTGTATAGAGTATACTTGTTGAATACCGGTACGTGTAAATAAATGGAGAGATTAAGGCTGATCAACTGAAGTTAAATTGTAGTAGAAACCAATTAAAATTGGAATCAGGGACTGTAGAGCTTTGGAATTCCTGAAGCCTTAGTAAGGAGTCAAGAGTTTATAATAGTTAAACAAGTTGAATTAATCTTAAGAAGCATAAAATGCTTTCCCGACCAATCCAACCAACTTTAGTACAGTCGGTATTTTTTTTAATAGACTCCGGTGCTATCAACACCAACATGAAGAGTTGAAATACGTTATATTTACCATTTTCAATAACTAAAGGATGTATTGGAAACTTTATAATCTTGAAAGTAATTGCCTTGTTTCTCAATGCTTAAAGGTGGTCACGTTATTTTAGGATACACTTTTTTGAATGGGACAGGCAGTTAAATTAATATTAAGAAGCATTATTATTGAAACGGTCAAGTGACCAATGCACTACGGAAAATGAGAAGGGAATAATGCACAGAAAATAAGGTGCAGAGTAGACAATAACACTATTCACTGGTGTATAGACCAAAGTCCAACACCGCCCCCTCGCCATAATGTATTACAACGCTCTCTGTGTAGTATGACCCTGTGTTGTGTGCTATGGTAATTTCCACACAGTGCTCACCACTCGGGATCCTCCTTGCTCGTCACTATAGTCCTCGCCACCCTAAGTTGAGGCAGCAAAAGGCTGCACTAGATATACGCCGTGCGGCCTTGGGCTGCCTCAACTTAGGGTGGCGAGGACTATAGTATATTTCCGGCACAACATACCAAGCTGAAAGCGCACGTCTCATAAAAAGTTTCCTTTGTATCCTTATTCTCTGTACATGAATGTGGTGTGAGTAAATTTTTAAATTATAACATGATCAAACCCAATTGATGATAAGTAATATGACATTCCTCACCCCTTATAAGGATCTACTTCCATCCTTTTAACGACTTTCTCTCCAAGTTTGGAGGGTGGCAGGATTATCTTCTCATCTTCACCCTCGAGGCCTGCAGATACAATGGCTGACCCGTTTGACTTGCAGAACGTCCAGAAGACACGATCGTTGACCCAGTCGACAGCAAATCCCTCACAGTTAGTCAGGTTCTTCACCAAGACAGGAGCTTTATTTTGTTGCTGCATACTGGTCCTACAAACAGAGAAACAATGTGTATCCAGGGTGTTCAAAAAAGATAGGGGCATAATTTGCGTGGTCATTCCTTGTGTCAGAATAAGCATACAAGTTTGCGTTAACATATGTGTTATCTTGTTTCGTTTAGTCTATCTGTTAGCTGAAAGGATACAGTGCTCACGTGGTATTCAGAAGTTTGATCTTGGAAAATGTCTGATAACTTGTAATAGCTCTAAACCAGGCTCTGCTGTCCATGATTACAATGTAGCTACTCATTCCAAGATACACTCATCCATCACACTTTGGGTGTAATACGCCCAGTTGCATCGCTATCTAAATTGGTTATATAGTTAAGTTTGTTTTTAGAACAATCACTAACTTATTACTTAAACTCAGGTTTACACTGGTAACAAGACCTATATATTTAATTACGTAGGGCGACTCTTCACGTCAAAATTTTTTGTGACTGGGAAGTCGCAGATCGACGGGAGAGGGCTCAAATTATAGGTCTCTATCCTGTGACGGCCGGGAAAATAATAAAACTCCTAAATATTTAACAGAAAATTATATAAACGTAAAATGGACTCGATAAGAATAGCATTGGAAGCCAATTATAGCCGATTCTTATAATGGCTGAAAAATAATGTTGTAGAATGGCTGAATAAGTGACAAAAAAAGTAGAAAGAAAATGTGATAAAAATGCATATATAATTTGTATAACTGTCTCGATTAATGTATTACAACGCTCACGGTGTGACCCTGTGCTGTGTGCTATGGTAATTTCCACACAGTGCTCGCCACACTTCAGCTTTGGGTTTATTTTAATATAAAAATGATCACTAAGTTCATACAATTAATTATTTTACATTAACATTTAAAGGTTATTGTTATGTCGAGGGAATGTTCAACATAAAAAATCACATTGGCTAAATCAATAATCAACGATTCAAGATTAAATAAAAAAAAACTTCTTCATTGTCTTTTTCAAAACATATGTATAAGATTCATTCTAAAAGTTTTTTTTATATTTTCTATTTCTTAACATTTAATTTGGCGCTTATTGTAAATATCAATATTCTGTATGAAGTGGAATGATCTCAATTCCTACTCTTAGAAAATAACTGGGCAAAAAACGAAATGGTTTCCTAAAGGCAATATATTTTTCAGTTTTTTTATTTAATCAAGAGAAATGTCTTTGACAAGTTCCACTGGGCAAAAATTAATATTGTTTAGAGGCAATTTTAGCCAGGTACTGTCTGTTGTTGCAAGCAAAAAAGGTTCAAATAATATAGCTTAGCATGCCAAGTATAGATAGTTAAGCATCCATATATAACAGTAAAACAATTATGAATATGTACCTCAGTGTAAGCTATGAACCCGCTAAACGTTTAAATAGGCCTATTTTGATAGAATGTGTAAAGTCAATTGCACCTTTAGAATGATCATTAACCACCATAGCTACCTTAGTAAACCAGTATTTTCTCTCATACAGTAATACGTTTGCTGCCTTTAGCAGAGTTAAACCTCTGGAATGATTCAATTTATTTATTGAAAATAACATCAACAAAAGCAAAGAAAGAGACGGTTTTTTTTTCATAAAAGATATGGTGTACAGGGATATCCATACTGACACAAATATTGTGATTCTGAATTTGTTTATATATTACGATAAATTGTTTTACATTTAAGCTTTTTAGGAACCCAGCCACAACAAGCCACTATAGGTCGGCCGCTTAGAAAACGACCTCCTCCAGCATTGGTTTAGCATTAGCGCGCAGGTCGTTTTCTAAGCGGCCGAACTATAGTTCTTTTTGGTATTCTATGTATCTGGAATGTCTAGTTCTATCAATGGTGAAAGCTTATAGTACTACATATCATTAGCAATAATATACAGAAACCACATTCCTCACCTAAACAGCTGTTGTTTTGTATGAAAAAACAATACATTTTTTGAAAGGTGGTAATCCACAGAATAGACCCATTCACTTGTTTGCTTAAGAACGTCATAATTGTTCATAAGGTTATAATGGTATAATCTTATCCCATCGCTGAGCCCCATCAAAAAATCTATTTTGTCAGCACCATCTGTAACAGTATTTATGTAGTTACCTGTATAATAAATAGAATTATCATCGGTTTTTAAGCCTAATGAAATTAAGTATACTAGATATCCTTTATCACAGACTCAGGAACATTTAGATATATAGGTAATACTTGCTAACGAATTTACATGTGAAATTTGATATTTAAAAGTGTTCATTTGTTGAACTATTTTAATCCAATTTCTTCTTTACAGCAGCTTTTAAAAACTGCTAGCTGACTTGGTCACAATATCAATTATATCCATTTATTTAAGATGGGAACGCCACTATGTGCGTATTTTAGCCCAAATATGAGTGAAAGATGAGTGTAGGATGTATAGAATAAGAAAAACAAGTAACAGTTAAGGTAGGCTTATAAAACAAAATGTAATGTGAAGAAATTTACTTCGTTCTACGGGAAAAAATAAAGCATGCAAACTGTCCCCCATGTTAAAATTACAGTATTACCTCTACCTTGTGTAAACATTTAACAAGACTGTGTCTATTATGAATTTTAATGTTTTTAATAAGGGAGTGGGACACCTACGATCACGTACACAATAGCAAAATCATTGACATTGGGACACTGAAGAATACACTCCATCTATATGGATTAGCTGTCACAAACCTTTTGTTCAAAAAGATCATAGTTCTAAGAGCGTGTAGTCATAGAGTGTGCTAGTGTCTAAAATTTCCCACCTTGTCATTTGTTACTGAGATAGCTCAAGTGGCATACAGATACTACGCTATAATGAGCTACAGGGGCAGATGTTACTGTTCCAAGAGCCAAAACACCAGAAGGAGTTGAAACTCTTCAAGAAGTGAACCTCCCACAGTCACAAAGTCATTCATTCACAAGCTTTCGTTGGCCTATTGGGGGGTGGGGGTGGTAGCCCGATTGCCCCGATGGTCAGGGATTAGTCCCACTCTACACTATACGATTGCGCCGACAGCCCTTTCTGCCCTTTTTTGGGTCGCCCGATTGCGATGGTCAGATTAATTTATTAAACGCGAGTTGCCTTTTATAGTAACTAGCATTATTAAGTTACAAATTTAACTAGCATAGTTTAATTTTGTATTACTTGCATATACTAGTAAACATTTAATACAGTAGTTATTAAAATATTATAAATATAACAATCAATAGTTAAAAGTTAACATTAAGCAATTGTTAGGATTAACAATTGTAAAACTGGGACGGTGGCGTCTTCCTGTAGTCCAGCTACTAGGAGGTCACGAATTGTGGATATTTATAGGCATGCACTGTGGATGTGATACTCACTGGTGTGGATAAACGTCCACACTTGTGAGTACTACGACTATCCGCAGTACTATCCTGATAATTAGAAATGGTCTAATTATCAGGATAGTTGATACCAAGGCAAAAATGGGGTTCTAATTCCGCTATAAACTGTAGGTCCCTTAAGTTGCCATTAGCTGTATGGACTATTAATTAACAGGTGTGTCTAAGGAATATGTCGGCCTTAGTCACTAACAAGACTACAAGATCGCGCCACGTATCCTATCCTTCACGCCTCTCCATTCGTACTTGGCTTAAAATAACTATCCTACTTTGTATGGTCACGATTTCATTGAAAAGTATTAAAGTATTACAAGTTAAAAAAAAACGGTATCAGCATTCTGACACATACTTTCTCCCTTAAGTTTGTCAACAACCTTTATCATGTGTAAACGGTGAGAGTAAATTGTCTACGGAAATGGGATTTGTACAATTTTGTTCAGAATTTAAAGGACTATAACATACAACATTTTTATCAAAATTGTTCAAGCCAATTTTGGGAAATCCGATTTTTCCGTTATTTTATGGGGTTTTATGGGGAAATAACATAATTTACAATAACTTTTGAACCGTAATTTTTACAGAAAAGTGATTTGTACCATTTTGTTTAGAATATAAAGGACTAAAACATACTAAATTTTTATCAAAATCGTTCGGGCCATTTTTGGGAAAATCCTATTTTTCCGTTATTTTATGGGGTTTTATGGGAAAATCCCCATCTATAATCAAAATTTCTAAAAAATGAAAAAAAACTATCAAAATTTTAAGGAATATAACCTACTATGTTAAATCAAAACTGGATTTTTGTCTAAAATCCTATTTTTCGTTATTTTATGGGAAAATAACATAATTTGCTATAACTTTTGAACCGTAATTTTTACAGAAATGGGATTTGCACCATTTTGTTCAAAATTTAAAGGGCTACAACATACTAAATTTTAATCAAAATCGTTCGGGCCATTTTTGAGAAAATCCGATTTTTCCGGGTTTTTATGGGAAAATCCCCATTAAAAATCAAAATTAAAAAAAAAATGAAAAAAACATCTGGAGATACCATGGATTAGAACCTACATACCAAATTTCATCGAAATCGGACCACAGGTGTAGTCTCTAGCTCTGTACACATCCAGACACACACACACACACACTCACACACGCACGCACACACACACACACACACACACAGACATCACTTCGAAAATCACTTTTTTGGGTCCAGGGGGGCCCTAAACGAATATATCCACTCAAAACTCAAACTCGAAAATTTTGACGAAAACAATACTTTCTCCATATACTATGGTATAGGGGGAGAAAGTAATTAAGCTTTATTCATTATAAGTGATAAATTGTTAAAAAAAAAATCAAACTTTGTTACCATACATAATAGTTCAGGTCGAGACGCACGATCATTCAACACACTATTTTGGTGTGTTACTCAACTGCCATTATTGAGATTACCAAGTTAAACTTAAGCGAGAAAATTCCTGATCTAATTGTTTTGATTTGAAGATTTTTGGGGCGCGGGGGAAGTAGATTTTTACTTTCGGGGCAAACGAGCACTAAATGGCGGTCGAGAGATTTAGACCCTTGTAAATTTCCTCGGCCATCGGGTGTCAGCCATTAGTGTGACTTGGTTAAAAAGTTGGCATTTGACTGGAATCAGTAATTTATGTAGGCGCAATCTGTTGGTAGATCACATAAAGTACGGTGATTTCGATTAAAACACTGGTGGAAGCTTAAACATGGGGTTAAAATTATAGCTTTGACTATTAATGCAACAACAGTTTAACCAATAGTCAAAGGCCAAATACACTTACCAGTAGGGCTAGCTCTCCCAATATCATACAGGGATAGTAACCAATCGCCTCCACATGTTCGGAGTGTGTCGTCAGGGCATTCCACGTTACAAAGCGAGTCATTTCTCCTGGGAGAACCTTCGCCAATGTCAGGTCCGCAGTAACACGTGCGTTCACTGGTAACAAAAATAACAATTTTGACACTATTTCAACAACGGTAACCATATTTTAAACATATTCCCAAAATTGTATAATGATAAAATACTGTTGTAGAAACAATAGGTATTTTCCAAAAGTAGCCACTCTTTCAAAATTCAGTGAAACGTTTTTAGGTTGTTTAAATTGGGTTGGGTTAGGCTGGTTTAGTTTAGTCTATGATAGTGACGATATGGTAACATTTGCAATATTTACAATTTAGTTCTAAACGTTTGAAAAGGACCCAAATGCATATTGACGTTTTTATACATTTGCATCGTTAATAAATTACTCGTGATTAAAATCTGTTTATGTTATCTGGTTTTAAATTACCACTTTAACCTAGCTAACCTAATCTAACGTAACCTCCACAGAACAATGAAAAAGATGGCGGCTATCTTCTTGCAAAAAAATATCTTCAAAATTCTTCCGCTTATCAAAGCTTTTTGAACTGTTAACTCCTCCAGTAATTTGTTTGAATCTATTAGTTTCTAAAATATAACAGGTCCGCAGGCCCAGGTAACAGGGGTCAGGTACCATGTGCGTTCATTGGTAACAAAGATAACAATTGAGTAACAATTTGGTAACCTTGTTAATATATATTCCCAAAAATATATAACGATAGAATATTGTTGTACTAACAATAGGTATTTTCAAGGAGTAGCCACTCTTTCAAGGTGCGGTGAGGAGGTAGTTAAGGTTGAGTTAGGTAAGTCAACCCCCTTCACATACTAGTACTCTAGATTCTAGAGGAACTATTTTACTTCAGGCTAGTCCTATCACATTGATAAAATCCATTGGTGATTGGCGGGATTTGGACCCCGGACCTCAGGCTCCGAATCCCCGAGCTCTACCACTAGACCAGCTTGCTCTCCTGGGTTAAGTGTATGTTAGTGACAACGTGGTAACATTTGTATTTACATTTTTCTGAATATTTGAAAACATGGACACGAATGCATATTGACGTTTTTTAAGTTTAGTTATTAAATAAATACACAAGACTTCTACTTTTGTTTAAGGTTCCCTTGTTTGTCATTATCTTAAATCTACCTAACCTAACTTTAATCTAACGTAACCACCGCAGCGTACTGAAAAAGTTATGGCCATCTTCTTGAAAAGGCTTATAAAAATCTTTTAAATTCCGCTTCTCACACTATTTGAACTGTTTACTCTTCCAGTAATTTGTTTGAATTTGATTAGTTTCTAAAATATTGTGATTTATACGAAATTCCCATGTTATGGATGTAGCCAGCTGTATATTTAAAATGAAGATAATTTATGAGCATTAGTCAAAATGCGCTGGTATAGATTACTGATTTAAAATACGCCAACAAATCTGAAACTAAACTACTTCTTATAGCATATTTTAAGTAACATCGATTATCATAGTGGCTTGTAACAAACTGAGTACAAATTGTAATTTTAGACAGTGTGATCTGTGGCTTATTCAAGTACTCCTAGAAAAAGTTCTAAAAAGCTGGTACACAGATGGGACGTTTGCTTCGGTGGCCAAAATGCAATGTTTGAATGAATAAATTTGTAAATAACATTTGTTTTTACCTGAGTTCCACTCCTGCAAACCGTGTCTTTAGAACCTGGCAGTACTCGACACATTTACTCAATGTCGCAGGAGACAGCTGATGTCCATAGCGTTGGTTGAGAGAGAAGCCAATGTCAAAGCAGCCGACATAATGTAGGTTATCCAACACCGAACCGGTGGAAATTGGAACTGTAAAAATATGTATAACTTGGTACAAAATCTTTAATATTTAAGTTATTTTATATAAAGGGTGGTCAAAAAGGATAGGCAGTAACTTGTTCTTGATTTTACATATAAAAAGCGGAATATTGTATGTTCTTGGACATGTAAATTCTTCGTTAAGTTGTAGCCATCAAATAAATTCTCTCATAAAATCGTATGTTTTGCAAATGTGCTCATTTGTACTCAAATGTGGTTTTAAGTCAGTAAAACAACTATTTAAAACAAAATGCTTGTAATGGAGTAAACATATAGATGCTTCATAAACATGTATCCCCTGTATCCGGAAATAGCTTATTAGAGAAGTGTTAAAAGTAGTCTCTCAATAGTTCGCAACCCTAGTTAAATGAGGGTTTTTGCGAATTTCAAGTATTACATGTGCATAAAAATGTTGAAAGCTGTCATGAGGGGTTCTGGCCTACAATATTCATAAAAACAAGACCCATAACTGGAATTTGAGTGTTTTTGAGATAATCTGTAAAAATCTCTAAAACATTTAAGTAAAAACGCATTTTTACATTTGTTTGGTAATGAAACGATGTTTTCAAGAGGTTCAATGGCACTTAGATATAGATGTACTTAGATGGTTCAATCACCAACAAAACAATACAAAATAGTATACAATTATTAAAAAGTGAATATGTGATGGATTACTATACTAGTTCAGTTGTAAGAAACTTGTTAAGAAAGTAAGAACAGTTAGTTCATTTAGAACAGAACGACATACGCGTGGGCATGGTCAACCTTAGTCAACCTTAACTTTGTTACATATTAAAATTAAAAGCCTTTTCCTCGTACTTAAAACAAAAAAATCGTTTTATCAAAATCGCTTAGCAAAATGATTTTAAAAAGAATTAAAAACAAAATAAAACTAAACACAACAAACATTTTCAAACAGTAATGGAGGAAATCACTTTTGGTAAGTCTTTTTTATAAGTTGGCAACGCAAAAATGAAAAAACCAACAAACAATAATTAGCAATAATAATGTTACCAATTGAGATAAGTGCGTCTAGGTACGTCTTTTAACCTAAATATGTGTGAAGAATGAGTGTAGAATAAAGTAAGTAGGTAATATGATCCGTGTAGCTTTTATTCTAACTACGACCAGCTTTTTTATTAGCCATGATTATGTATTTGAAGTCCAATGATCAGGAACAGCCGGGTCCAGTTTCGAACCATCAAAAAACTAATGATTTTTCTCAGGATCGAACCGGCAACCATTTGATTGCTAGGCGAACATTTTTACCACTCAACTACTCAACCAGTCAATGTGATTCTAAGAGAAGGATTTTGATTAATGTTAGAGTATCTACACCACTGCTAGTAAAATAACATTGGGCTAACTTCTTTAATCTTTACTTTTCCATGTAAAATAGGTTCTCCGAAATACTAAATATAGCCTACCTTTAAATCCCCGTGTATTTTAGTTTAGCAAAAAAAAAATTACATAATCAAAACGTCTATGAAAGCCTTAGATGACGTAATTGTACTCTGTATTTGTATGTTAGTATTGTAAAGTTAAAACCAGATTTAATATTTTTTGACCTCTCTTCCAATCAAAGATTTTTTGACAATAACTACACTAACTAAAAGAACATATCCTTTTTATACTCGTAAAATTTTTTTTTTGCCAATCCCTATGACTTGAAATTAAAACTGACTCAAATAAACAGCTAATTCTGCTTGGATACAAGAATTATCTTTTATGTGAGTGTTACCAGATTAATTTATTATCTTTACTAATACAGGATAAGTCCCTCTTTTCACTCAGGGTTGAAAGCGTTGATTAAGGCCGAGGTAGAAGAAAAGATTGGCTCAATCCTGCCCATTTTCAATAAGTGACTCTTTTGAAAATTAGTGTCAGTGATTCAATGGATTAAGCTTAGGTAACAAATTGCCAAAAGGCGTAATTGTTTTTAAATTCTATTGATGACGGAATAATATGTTTGATATGTAAGGAAATGATTACTTAATTAGTTAAAAGCTTATAACCATGTGAAACTTTAAATATGCAAATATCTCTATAAAACAACGACCTTAGTAGAATAAAGCTAGTATGTGAATTGGCTTTCATAGCAAGTAAAAATGGTTTTTTTCTTGTAACGGACTCAAACTTATTTTTTCATACAGAATTGAAAAAGTAACACCGGAACAAAATGGGCACTACAGTAATATTTATATTCTAAAAAAAATTGCTTAACAACCAAATGTCTCATCCCCAATATATTTGTAAAATTCACTTTTGTGCTCACTTGATCCATGTTCTTACCTGATATCACTATAAATAAGCTGGTCAAACACACAACGTCCTTCATGGCTATAATTGCATCGCAGGACACCGCGAGACTGGATCCTGGCACGGAAGTGATAAGAGTGATAACAGTATATGGGAGGGGATAAGGGAATCCTGACCCATAGTTGCATCTCTTTTGGGTTATTGCATCACATTATCTCGGGCCATACTGTGTATTTTTTCTTGATAGGTCAAGGGCTCTGGACCATTAGAACACAGCAATATCACTATGAAAATGGCAGGGGTGCGAGCTGGTTTGTGGTAGAGTGCGGGAATTCAGTCCAGGGTTCAAATCCCATGAAATCACCAATGTTTTAGGTGATAATGCCGCAAACCCAACATGAAGTAATTTGAAAACAATTCCAGGCCAGTGTCTAGTGTTCTGGTGAAAGAAAAACTATTAAAACGTGTAACAAGATTTAATCCCGAACTTTCAAAATGTATGTTTTAAGTTTACAACTGTTATAGCCTATAAGTGGAATAAGATGTCAACGTGGCAATTTGTGGTCATTTTTTATATTTTTGAGTTTGTATGTTATAGTTATCTCTGGGGTTTTTTGTAAGAGAACGGTCCAAACTATGGTCGTCCGTTTCATAGATAGCAAAGTTAATTGATAGCCCACTTCGTTTATGACATCTAGGTTCAGAAACGATCTCACTTGTAATTGCGTTCAATTACCCACCTACAAATTGTGTGCACTGTATATATTTTAAGTGCACTCGGCTATTTACAATAACAATCTGTGAGCGCAATTCGTGAGTACGTCATTCATCTCAGCTAAAGGCGCGCACGGCCATCTACAGATCTCGAGCGTTAATGATTGTTTGTGCTCGTAATACACACTAGATTTTTCCTACCACCGTAATTAACTTTTTATAACACACAGAATAGCTTTTAAGTTGAAGTACCTGGAGACCGAGCCATGACTTGGTATGGTTTATTTACATTGTATCCCTATATCGAGTAATTTAGTTTAATCTTTGCTTAACAGTAATAAGTGGTGTTATTTCCTTTGTACTGTTTTTCGTAATTTGACAGTATACTGTGGATGACTTGTTATTAAAACATGTTACAAACTTTTGTTAACATTTTCCTTGTTACTTTGCTCAACCAACATGGTTACTTGGCAACCCATGAGGCCAATGTTAAAAAGTGCTAACTTTCAATTTCATTTTTTATGTAATTCGATTTTTGTTGGCAGTTTTAATTGCAGTAAACACGTTTTTAGGCCAGATATAAATTATTTACATCATTTGAAGGAAATCCTCGAAGCAGTTTTCGAGATCTATTTGCAAGCATGCAAACATACAGTCGATGGTGGTAGGAAAAATATGTTGGAATATTTAATCCAAGATGACATTATCATATACTATTGAGAAAATTCCACAACACTATAATTATATGTTGGAATATTTATTAGAAGATTATGGGACTATAATATGAACAGCACTATTGGAATGCACAGCAAGTTGAGGATGCGGGGGCGATCAAATCCCCACAGAGGTGTTTCTAAGATTGAGACTTAAAGTGATGGATCTCCTGTCTCACGTTTAATCTAAATATTTCATCTTAGAGTCCCAGCTTCGCTTAAAACGGATAGAAACAACTCGTGTTTCATCTTAGGTTTAACAAAGACTGGTGATTTTCTTGTTTTCACCTAAATCAAATGTTTGATTGTTATTTTGTCGATTATTGCTGATAAATTTTATATCACGCCATATGAAAAGCTTTAAGAACATTGCCTACATTGATTGTTCTGTGTTTTCTTTTATTAATATTTGCATAGACACTTTTTTATTAACTAGGGTTGTAGTCGGGGACGATCGATTTAATCGAAAGTCTCTTAAATAATATTTTCAGTAAAATTAATAGAAAACTTTAATGTATCACCATAGATAAAACATGGTATCACTTAGTATATCACTTAGTATATTGAACATAATAAAACTAATGTCACCCTATTTCATGTTCAGAACTGAACAATTTAGAAGATAAATATGGTTATATAATACATACAAAATATATAATTATACAAATATATACATAGAAATTCCTTACAAATTTATAATAACTATGCTCTATAATATTCACTGTTATGTGACATCCATCTCATGATAACAGTTAGTACTAGTTGCTTATATATCTAGTTTTATATAAATACAAGTGTAGCTATTTAACTGTCTAGTAATTGATACAAGAAAAATAAGTGCTCAATGCTGCTGAATACTCTTAGAATAAAGATGTACTGGGGAATTAAAAGCTAAGGATAGTTTATCTTAATTGTAATGAATGTGATGGTTGTAACTAAAAATTCAAACCTCACTTTTTATTTTGTAAAAATATACATCAGAATCTAATATTTACGAGTAATCATGATTTTAAGGTATAGATTTTAATGGTGTAGTATTTTGTAAGCCATAAAACTATTTTTTTCTCCCTAATGGTTTATACAATAATAATAATAGAATAATAGAAAATCTCATTTTAAACTCAACTTTTAATTGCACATTTTAACCACAACCAGCTGGGAAAGGACGAGTTTGAACGGATTCTCTGGAGAAATTTCACTTGCTAATTGACATAGAAGCTGCTCAACTCTCTAGACATTTGAATACTCAAACAAGAGATTCGTCAAAAGGCTCAACTCAAAACTAGAACTTAACTTTCTAGACTAAGTCTTTATATCTATGTAAATACATTGTGAGTATTTCACAATTTTAGTTTTGTATATTTCACTTTACTCTTATTGTTTGCTTGTTTTGTAAAAAATAATTATCTTTTTAGGATGATAATAAATATTTGTAAAACTTGTTTATCTCTTTATCAGCAACAGTAATGAATTCAATGTTTCACATGATTTATATTTTGAATATGTGTTTCATTATAATTAGGTAAATATTGTCTCGTTGTAAAACGTAGGTGTTTATGCTTTGAAACCAATTAGTGATGTTAGTCATTATTTTTATAGTTTTTTTCAAACCCAAACAGTCCAATTTTTAGATTGGCAGATATTTAAAGATATTTTACATACATTATTAGTACAGTAATTCTTTTTTTCCTTTTCGTAAGATCTTGACATATATGGATGAAGTGGAATGAATATTTTTTGCAATTCACTTAACGAGACAAAAAAGAACATTATTCTATTTGTGGGTTGAACACCATTACCACAGAAAACATACTACATTACCGATTGTTTAGAAAGCTTGAGGAATTCTGATCATGGAATTATTGGAAAAAAGATAAATCCCTTAACGAAAACCCATCTTGATACACAGTTTCCCCCAACAAAGAAAACTACTTCAGCAGAAACTATCCCGTGCTCTCAAGCTTTCTAAAAAACCGGTAATGGTGTTCAACCCACAAATAGAATAATGTTCTCTTAAGTGAATTGCAAAAAATATTCATTCCACTAGAAGATAAGGTAGGCTAAATTGAGCTCCAACATCTACAATAATGCTGAAGAATATTCACATCGATGCATTTTTTTCTTATAATAAAAAAAGTTGTTTTTAGTATTTTTCACAGTATGCTACATTTTACAACAATACCTATAGCTAGGTATACAAACATTTTCTGTTTAATCCAACTAAGTTATTTGTAACATATTGATATGTATGCAATTCAATTAAAATGTTAATAAGCAAGACTACCAATTACCTATTTGTAAAGATATAATACTAAACAACCTTACGTGTCTTTTTCAACATGATTATTCCAGGTAAATTTGTTCTATCATTTAAACAGATATATTTTCCTATAAGTAACATTACTTTACTCAAAAATCCTTCCTTCATAGACAAAAATAGATACGAGACTAGGAAATCGATTTTTTAAAAAATACATTTGCAGTTTTATACAATCGAACATGTCCACAATCTTTCCTTAAAGCGTTAAAATACATTAACTCACTTTTAGAAAAGGCTCACCATAACACTGAAAAATCCTTCATAGCTCACGTGGCTTCCACATAAAATAACGGTTAAGCACGAATCGAACTTACTTTTTAACTAAGGTTGGCTTTCAATACTAACTATTATAGCCTAACGACATTAATTAGAAGTTTATCAAACATGAATACAACTTGAATACGTTAACTAACCTGTTACTAGAACGATGAAGCCCAAAGCCCAAGGCTTCATGTTGAAGTGGCAAAAGACAGCAGACTGATCAGATGTTATCTTACTGAACAAACTGACCACAGATCATTCAAACAATGACCGGGCTGGAATCAGTTCAGTAGGTCTATGACGCACCAAGCGATCATTTCCTTATGTTCATATCTAGGCATAGAAAGCATATAGATATGCTCATTCACTACTATTATTCACTATTATTCAAGACTAGAGTCTTGGAGTTTAATAGTGGACCAATCTGATCTTCATCATCTGTTTCAAGTTCTAAACATATATAGTGGTTTTCGTAGGCCATTGCCATGAATCTATGAATCAGAGTCCATTTTAAAGTGTAGATTAAGTTATTTATCAAAACAGACAACTTATATTGGTGAAAGACAACTTACTCTGTATTACAGGTCATCCTCCATAGCATATCTAACTTGGTTTAATCTTATTTATGTAATTGACTGAAGTCTGCATTTCATAGTGGTAGTATGCTTAATGTATGCTTTAAGCTTGGCAAAAAACTTATTATATGTCAAAAAGAGCATTCAATATGTGTTGAAAGGTTGTATAAATCCTCACAATCATGTAAGGTGAATCGTAATCAATCGCAATCAATCAATAAAATATTATTTGTCTTAACTGGTTCTAACCTTTCCATTCTGATTTAAGAACATAAATTGGCGGATTTCTTTGAATTTTATAAGTTCAGTATACTTGTGCGCCGAAGCTTATTTTAATTCTTAAAGAAAAACAAAGTGATATTTGGAAACCAGAAGAGTTTAAAAAATATACCAAAGACTTTCTCAAAGTGTAAATTTCATTTGCATGCATTGAAGACAAGTTTGCATTTAAAAACATTTTATAAATTTGTTAAACAAATTTTTACTGGAAATAATTAGTTATATTTTTAAGGCAATTCACTTTTAATAATAT